CTTTGTGTTTTGGTTGGAGCATTTAACCTATTTACATTTAAGGTAGTTATTAATAAGTATGATTCTGTTACCATTTACTTTGTTGTTTTAGTTTTTCTTTTTTTTTTTTTTTAATAAACCTTTTCTGTGTTTCCTGTCAAGAGAAGAACCTTTTGCATTTGTTGAAGAGCTGGTTTGGTGGTGCAGAATTCTCTCAGCTTTTGCTTGTCTGTAAAGCTTTTGATTTTTCCTTCATAGCTGAATGAGATCTTTGCTGGGTAGAGTAATCTTGGTTGTAGGTTTTTCACTTTCATCACTTTAAGTATGTCCTGCCATTCCCTTCTGGCCCGAAGAGTTTCTCTTGAAAGATAACTGTTATCCTTATGGGAATCCCCTTGTGTGTTATTTGTTGCTTTTCCCTTGGCTGCTTTTAATATTTGCTCTTTGTGTTTGGTCTTTGTTAGTTTGATTAATATGTGTCTTGGGTTGTTTTGCCTTGGGTTTATCCTGTTTGGGACTCTGGATTTCTTGGACTGAGTGGCGATTTCCTTCCCTATTTTAGGGAGGTTTTTGACTATTAAGTTTTTTCTCATGGCCTTTCTATTTGTCTTCTTTTGGGACACCTATGATTCGAATATTGGGGCATTTAGCTTTGTCCCAGAGGTCTCTGCGATTGTCCTCATTTCTTTTAATTCTTTTTTCTTCTCTGCTTCATTTATTTCCACCATTCTATCTTCTACCTCACTTATCCTCTCTTCTGTCGCTGTTATTCTCCTGTTGGTTCCCTCTAGAGTGCTTTTAATCTCAGTTATTGCATTGTTCATTGTTGACTCTTCTTTATTTCTTCTAAGTCCTTGTTAAACATTTCTTGCGTCTTCTACTCTCTGCCTCTAGTCTTATTTATCTGTAACTCCCCATTTTGCTTTCAAGATTTTGGATCATCTTTGCTATCATTATTCTGAATTCTTTTTCAGGTAGACTGTCTCCTCTTTTGTTTGATTTAATGAGTTTTTATCATGTTCCTTTATCTGCTGAATATTTCTCTACCTTTTCATTTTGTTTAGATTGCTGTGTTCAGGGTGCCCTTTCTGCCGGCTGGAAGTTCGTGGTTCCTCTTAATTGTGGAGTTTGCTCCCTGTGGGTGGGTTTGGACTAGTGGCTTGTCAAGGTTTCCTGGTTGCGGGAGCTTGTATCTGTCTTCTGGTGGGTGCAGCTGGAGGTCTTCTATCTGGAGTGCAATGAAGTGTCCAGTAGGTGAGTTTGGGGTTGCCTATGGGTTCAGCATGGCTTTGGGAAGCCCATGTTTTAATGTTCAGGGTTGTGTTCCTGTTTTGCTGGAGAATTAGTGTGGTTTGTCTTGCACTGAAACTTTTTTGGCTTTTGGGTGTAGCTTGGTTTTAGTGTAGGTATGGAGAATTTTGCGTGAGCTCTTGTCTATTAAAGTTCCCTGGAGTCAGGGGTTCTCTGATGTTTTAAAGTTTTGGAGTTAAGTCTACTGACTCTGGCTTTGGTCCTTTTCTTACAGTAACCTCAAGACTTCTCCAACCATACAGCACAGAAGATTAAACCCTTAGGTTAATGCTGAAACAATTCTCCATGGCCAGGAACACCCAGAGAGATACACAGAGAGAATAGGGAGGAGGGAGTTAGAGGTGACCAGGAGGAGAAAAGGGGGAGTCAAAAGGAGAGAGGGCATTCTAGCCGGTAATCAAATCCCTTAGTGAAAATGGATACTGTAGATGAGATTCTTAAAGGTACAAAATTGATAACAAATACAAAGAAGCAAAGATTAAAAACCTAGTATAGAGTTAGACTCTCAAAAAATGCAATATAAAAAATATAAAATCACAAAAATAAAAAAAACATATGGAATTTGATTTCTAAAAAAGAAATGCCCCAATATTCTAAATTTCTAAAAAAAATTTTGGGGGGGTGGTAATAGTAGGCTATAAAAATGAAAGTTAAAGGAGTAATAAAGAACTAAAAGTTTTAAAAAATTTAAAAAGTGGTAATAGTAAAAATATATCTCAGAATTTCTCTGGTGCTGTTGTGGGCACTGTGGGGTCGGTTCAGTGTCAGCTAGTCCTTTGTTCCGGCTTGTACTTGTTCCCAAGGTCTACAGGTGACCCTCAGATGCACTCTCAGTGTTGACTGCAGGGCTTTAGTTTGTCGCACCTTTTTACTTGTTGTCACTTCCAGAGTGGCTCCCCCTTCTTTGTTTATTTTGGCTCCCTCTGTTCTCAGGTCTCTTCAGTGTCTAATTTCTGCCCTGACACAAGGGGGCGAAGGTGGCCACCTGTTTAGGCTCATTTGTGCAGATATGTTGTGGGAGGGAGGGATACTGCAGCAAATACTGCTGGCATGTGCAGGGAGTGCTCGTATGGATGGACCACACTGGGTTTGCCACAGCCCAAGACAGCGTGTCCTTCCTGTGTCCACACTGCTCAGGCTCCAGGATGCTCTGCAAGGGCGCTGTCCCGAGTGGGCCCTGCATTTTGTGCACGTCCCATGTCTGAGCTGCTTAGGTTCTTGGGGGCTCCACAAGGGCACAGACCCAGACGGGCTGTGTGTTTTGTTCACGTGACCGGTGCTCAGCGAGCTCATGGTCTCAGGCGGGCCGTGCATCTCACCTCCCGGGTCCTGGCAGCTCGGTTTCCTGGGTGTGCTGCAAGAGCAGGGTCCAGGTGTGCTGTGTGTCTCCCCTGGGAGCTGATCAGGCTGTGACACTTCTGGCAGATGTCAGCCGTACAGGATCCCAGGAAGATGTGGTTAGCAGCTGGGAGCCTGCTCACAGTTTGGTGGAAGATGTGGACGCTGGGGCCGAGATTGAAACAGCCCCTTGCCTTCTGGCTCTGGCTGTTGCATGCCTCCCTCTCTGCCTCCGGAGATGGAGGGCCCTGTATGGCAGCTGACTTGCTCTCCTTTGGTATTCGGCTTGCTCTCTTCTGGTATTTGCGCAGTCTTTTGTTGGGTGAGCACACCAGGGGTCATCATGCAGTGTTAGAGCCTTTCGCGGGAAAGGTGTTTTTTTATTTTTTTGTCTCTCTGGCGATCCCATGGTTTGGATAGCTATCTCATATGAGCTCCTCATATTGTCTTCAGGACATTCAGGCCCAGTCCTTACCCTAAGGACCAATGATGCAGCCTGTGCGTCCCTGCACAGTCCCCACTCAACTGGTGGCAGACACGAGCATCTGTGCCACTTCTCCATCTCCGCATATAGTTGCCGTTAGGCACGTATTCTGTGGGTTTGGTTTTTTTTTTCGCCCTTCCAGTTAGGTTGCCCTCTGAGATTCCAAAACTCCCCACAGACAGGCATGTGAGAGGGTTTCCTACTGTGTGGAAACTTCTCCTCCTTCACGACTCCCTCTCCAGGATGGTCTCCATCCCTAAATCTTTTGTCTCTGATTTGTCTTTTACATTTTGTCCTACTTCCTCTCATAGAGATTGGGCTGCCTTTCTGGATGCCTGGTGTCCTCCGCCAGCGTTCAGAAGTTGTTTTGTGGAAGTTGCTTAACATTCAGATGATCTTTTGATAAATTTGTGGGGGAGAAAGTGGTCTCCCTGTCCTATTCCTCTGCCTTCTTGAGACCACTCCTCTCTATTTTTTTTTTTCAATTAGAACTAATTCCTTTATTAAATAAGCTTCATTTGGGAGCTGACTGCCACAGACCTTGGGAGAAAATGCATCTTGCTTTTGCAGAGATCAACATAGTTCAGCAATGCCCAAGCTCCTCTTTCAGAGAGGTGAACCTCAGCTTTGAAGAAGGGCTGAGGAGGCTTCCACACTGAAGGTGACATGGAAAAGACGTAGTAATCACATGGGAGCCAGTCCAGGAGCAAACCAAGTGCATGGCCACCTGCTGCTTCCCTGTGCCCTGCCAGGAGAGCGCTGTGAAGCAGAGGCATCTGGGTTCCCAAGTGGGCACCAGCAACACCTCCAAGGCAGACCTGAGGAACCTGAGGATGAGGTTCCAAAAGTAGTCCCTGCAGTGGCTAAGAGTCTGATCAGGAATAAAAGTAGACGGGGATGGGCGCATGGTGTGTGTGTGTTCAGTTGTGTCTGACTCTGCAACCCCATGGACTGTAGCCCACCAGGCTCCTCTGTCCATGGAATTTTCCAGGCAAAAATACTGGAGTGGGTTGCCATTTCCTTCTCCTCTCTTCATTTTTTTAACGGGTAGGTGGTATAAGTCAGTGAAGTGAAAGTGTTGGTTGCTCAGTCATCTCCTGACTCTTCACGATCCTGTGAACACATAGCAGCTCCTCTGTCTATGGAATTCTCCAGGCAGGAATACTGGAGTGGGTAGCCCTTCCTTTCTCCAGGGAATCTTCCTGACCCAGGGACTGAACTGCAGTCTCCTGCATTGCAGGTGGATTCTTTACACTGAGCTACCAGGGAAGCCCCAAAAATCAGTAAGGACAAGCATGTTTTTTAGTCATAGTAACCAAAGTGAAACATACAATTTTAAATGTGTGGCTTTGAATATTTAGTTTATTACATGTATCTGATGGAAAATGGAACATAGACCATGAAGATATGTGTAATACCACAAAGAGGAGAGGGAATGACTATGAACTTTGTCATGTACAGAATTCTCTAGCTACAAACCTAACTAGTGTCTTATGCTAAAACTGATGTTTCGAGGTAGTTACCTATGGCTGGAACATAAAAGGGGAGTCACAGAAGGCCCATCTTATGCCTCAACAAAGAAGCTCCACCTTCTCCTTTTCAACAGAGTGTAGTTGACAGAGATATTGATGTATTTATAGCAGAACTCCACAAAAGCAATGTTTTAAACGTCTCATACTCAATGTGCTCATGTTCCTGTATCATAAAAGTCACTAAGCCACGTTTAGTGACTGTTTTCTTCAAATAAATCTAGTATGTGGTGTTAGTACTACTTTAAACTTAGGAATTTTTTTACTTAGGAAAAGGCTTTCTAGAAGGATCGTTGCATGCAGTATATTTTGTTGATCATAAGATACAGAGCACATGGTTCATTTTTCTTTTCCTGTAGGTTTTATGGGAATTAGAAACCTTACGTCTCATAAATCACTTTGAAAGATCCATGAAGGCAGAAATTGGAGATGATGATGAGTTATATATAGTAGACAACAACGGAGAGGCACAGCTGTTTGACTTCACTGGCCAAGACTTTGAAAATAAGCTTCGAGTTCCTCTTCTTGAAATACTGAAATATCCATATCTGCTTTTACATGAGCATGTCAGTGAGTATCATGGGTTTTCACAGTTGTATCAATTTTATTTTAAGAATTGTAAGAATTTTGGTTATCTATATTGAAAACTCTGTTCCTTGAATGTATAATTAGGATACTTAGTATTTTTTCCAAACATAGTAAAGTGAATTACACAGTGAATACCATATATATACCACATAGATGATTCTGCAGTTGCTAACATCTAACTCTGCTTGCTTTATCTGTCCATTTAGTCATCTGTTCATTCAGTTAATTTTCATTCTTGGAATCTGTCTATAGCAGGGTTTCTCAGACCTGGCACTGTTGACATTTTGAACTGGATAATTCTTGGTGGGTGGGCCTATAGGATGTTATAGGAACATCCCTGACCTCTCTCCACTAGATGTCAGTAGTGGCTTTCTCTTCCTTCTGTCCTGGTTGTGACTACCAAAAATAGTGGTGCCAAATGTCCCTTGGGAGTTGTGGGGTGGGGCCAGAGAGAGGCACAATTGCCAGGTTCAGAACCACTGGTCTGTAGTAGTTTTTAGTAATTACTATGACATAGCATATTATAACTGCCTAGATTTTGGTCCTTTGTATTTGCATTTCTTAATACAAATCTCTTGAAGACATTTTTATGATTTGTCAAATCTAACAAAACAAGAGTACCTTTAGGGACCTACTACTGTATCTAGGCCATGTTCAGATTTTTCCAGTAGTTGCAGAATTTTTTTTGGCAGGTTTATTTAAATTAGAGTGCAGTCAAGGACTTTGCATTGGTTCCATTTAGTTCATGTTTCTTATGTCTCTTTTAATCCAGAATCATTTACTCTTACATCCATGCACACACATTTTTTTTCTTTTGCTGTAACTTTTGACTTGCTGAGATCAAGTGGTTGCCCTGTAGAATAATGCACTTCCTAGATTTTTTTGATCGCTATCTTGTCATGTTATTTAACTTATTTCTTTATTCTATTTCAGTATACTGAAAAGTAGATCTAAAGATTTACTAGAGAAATCAGTTCTTCCTAAATAAATTCAAAATAGATTTTTAAAGTCATTTTTCAAGCATTTATTAAACAGTACCATATCCAGAAAAGTATATAAGCTTAATTTTTCATTAAATTAAACACAATTGTGTAGCTGGGGTGTTGATATTTTGTTTCTTGACCTGGATGACAGCTAACCACTGTCACTGTGATATTCTTTTGAGGCTTGATAAAATAAGAGTTGGCTCATCTGATAGGATGCATGTGTAAGTCTGTTCAGTACACTTATGAAAGTAACAGATTTCCATAAAGCAATGGTATTAGGATAGTGCTGGCACAGATAGACTGATGGAACAGTGTAGAGAGTCGAGAAGGAAACCAAGTGTATTTGTGGAATTTAGTGTTTGATGATGATAGTATTTCAGCCAGTTGAGGAAATGGGGGTACTCGGTAACTGAGAGCAGGACAAGATAGCCATTTGTGGACAGAGTTGTTACCACTCTGATACAAAATGAAGTTCACATGGGGTCAACATGTAAAATGCTAATGGAATTGGACTCTAACCCTACTTCTAAGAAAATGCCCTCTGGAGATAATTATGCCCCGTGTGAAAGAAGATGTTTGTACTAGTAAAGTCAGAGTCATTCATAGGAATATATTATAAATTACGTGATGACTACCATATATATGTGTACCACAGTCTTTTGTGACTACCACATATATACCAGTCAGTCTTTCAGAAGATTGAATACATTGTTCCTACATTTACGCTGTTTTTTGCCTCAGTTTAAAAAAAAAATGAGAAACTTTTCATTTACTTACAGAGTAACTGAAGGAGCCAGATTTAGGAAATCTCATTAAGTTGGTAAGTTTTATCTTACATTTACTGCTTTATTTTTTCTATTTAGATGAATTATGTGTTGAAGCACTTTGCCGGATGGAACAAGCTAATTGCTCCTTTCAAGTTTTTGACAAACATCCAGGGATCTATTTATTTTTGGTTCATCCCAATGAAATGGTGAGTGTCAGTGACAGGCAGTAGAAGAGGATACCTTCTTTTGTACCAATAGATGACTGACTATAATAGAAGTTTTGGAGTGTACTTTGTGTAAAATATTTGCCAAAATTATTCTCTTGTTGTAAAATTACTGCAATTAAGGAGAGAGTGCTTTAGTGGGGGTGGGAGGGTCAAAGAAGAAGAGATTTAAGAGAGGAGGGAATCCTTCTGACAGGTGATGCTTCAGTTTAAAAGCCAGACTTCTTTTAATGTGTTGACCTGAGCTAATGAAGCTCTGTTGCTTTTCTTGCCAGCCTGCCCCACTCCAAGCACATGGAAATACTGCTTAAAACCTTTGAAATTATTTTGTTAGTGAATGAGGTTTTTAAAAGGTGATGGGGTATGGGGAGGACACCTAGTTGCTAGGTGCTGGACAGGAGGAACGTAAGAATCAGAGCAGTAGGTAGAACAGAAGCAGAGAGCAACTCCAGAGTTTTGGAACCTGACATTCAGCTGATGGCTGGGGTTTGCAGATTTATCTCATGTGGTGAGGCAGCATGTGCTGTGGGTCTGTGCACTTTGGCCTCATGAGTTATAGTGTTAAAACAAAAGCTTTGCAGGGCAGCTCTGCTGATGGAGGACCAGTAAAGAGCCTTTAAGTGGCAAAGAAAGAACATGGTAATGGTGTTTCAAGAAAAATGGTGATGAATTTCAGTCTCTTCTGTGCTAAACCCTAACAATGATAGAAAAAATTCAAAACAGAGGAATTTGAAAAGCTATAATCACACAATTCAAGAAGTAAATGTTCCTTTGAACCAGTAAGGGGGCACAAGCACAAAGTGATAAGTGGTGGAAAGTTGTAGGCCTGGCTGGCGTAGGTAGCAGGGGATTGAGTTTGTGCAGGATAATAGGAATTACAAGTATACTCGACGCTAGGGTAGACCCAGAGTCAAGGCCTCTGCTTAAATGAGTTGGGGCCTTCCTTCCTGTGAAGGAAGATTGACAGAAAGCACCACCAGCGTCTGTCTAGGACTGGCTTTCTTAAAGCTACAAACCAGTAGAGGAAGCTGGTCCAGCTGAGCAACCAGGACCTGGTCCTGCCATTGCAGGCTTCGGGACTGAGTCCTCAGGGCCAGGAGTGACTGGATTCTTCATTATAGGCTTATTTTACAGGTGAGCAAACTGAGTCAGGAGACTTATCCACAGTTACATAGTCTAGTTTGTGGTGACTGGGATTTGTGTACAGGCAACCTGACTCCATAAAGTAGCCTGTGGGAGAGGCCTCAGGTTGGATGGTCATAGACCCAGGTGTGCATTCTGGGTGGATCATTTGCCAACTGTGGGACTTAGGGCAAGCCCCTCCCCTACTGGGATTCCCTTGTGGCTCAGCCGGTAAAGAATCTGCCTGCAATGCAGGAGACTTGAGTTTGATCCCTGGTTGGGGAAGAGTCCCCCTGGAGAAGGGAATGGCAACCCACTCCAGTATTCTTGCCTGGAGGATTCCAGGGACAGAGGAGTCTGGTGGGCTACTGTCCATGGGGACACAAAGAGTTGGACACAATTGAGCGACTAACACTCAACCTGACTGCAGCGTCCTTATGCTTTTTTAAAAATTTTATTTGGAAATAATTTAAAACAAAATTCTCAGGAGTAAAAAAAAGTAGCAAATATTCTGTATACTCTTTATCCATATTCACCAGGTGTTAACATTTCACTCTCTTTGCTCTATCTCTTGCTTTTTGTTAACTACAAAGCTTTTTTGTTCTCTGAACTATTTGAGAGTAGGTTGCATATATCATGACCATTTACCTTTTAAGGCTTTAGTGTATATTTCATAAGAATAAGTATATTATCATAATATTATGAACTTCAGTGAACAGTGAATTTAATGTTGATACAGTAAGGCCTGTTTTCCAGTTGTGTCATATGATCCACTGTACTTAGTAGCATTTTCCCCCATACTCTTGAGATTATTTTGGTTAGCTTTCTGTGATTGTGGCTTTTCATTCTGGAATCTGAGGGATTGTAATTCTTGCTTCTTCTGTCTGCCCTCTGATGAATGAGGATAAGAGGCTTGTGCAAGCTTCCTGATTGAAGGGATTGGCTGAACTGGCTATGAGGAAAACTGCTCTGAGGGGCGGGACCATGCCCAGTAAATCTTTAATCCAATTGTCTGCTGATGGGTGGGGCTGTGCTCCCTCCCTGTGTTAATTGCTTGCCCTGAGGCAACCCAATCATGGAGTCTGTAGGCTCTGTAATGGGGCTGTGGGCTCTGAAGTAAAGTCAGTGAAGTCAGTCAGTCCTCAGTCATGTCCTAATCTCTGTGACCCCATGGACTGTAGCCTACTGGGCTCCTCTGTCCAGGCAAGAGGACTGGAGTGGGTTGCCATTTCCTTCTCCAGAGGATCTTCCCAACCCAGGGATCAGACCTGGGTCTCTCCCGCATCATAGGCAGATATGCTTTACCATCTGGCTATTGGCAGCCTGCCCCCAAGAGGATTTATGCCAAGATGTGCCTCCCAGGTCTGCTGCTCCCAGTGCCCCTGCCTCTGTCGACCGACCCATGCCTTCACTGGAGACCCTCAAACATGCAAGGCATGTCTGGCTCAATCTCTTGCGGGGGTCATTGCTTCTTTCCCCTGGGCCCTGGTACACACAGTGGTTTTTTTGTGCTCTTCAAGAGATCTTTTCCTCCAGGTCCTTGCCGAATGCCCAGGTTGGGAAGTCTGATGTGGGGCCTAGAACCTTTGCAACAGTGAGAGAACTTCTTTGATGTTAATTGTTCTCCAGTTTGTGGGTTGCCACCTGGTGAGATTGGGGTTTGATTTTAATGTGTTTGCAGCCCTCCTACCATATCCTTGCAGCTTCTCCTTTGTCCTAGAAGTTTCTACAAGACCTTCTAGAACTAACACCCAAAAAAGATGTCCTTTTCATCATAGGGGACTGGAATGCAAAAGTAAGAAGTCAAGAAAAACCTGGAGTAACAGGCAAGTTTGGTCTCGGAGTATAAAATGAAGCAGGGCAAAGGCTAACAGAGTTTGGCCAAGAGAACACACTGGTCATAGCAAACACCCTCTTCTAACACCACAAGAAACTGCTCTACACATAGACACCATCAGATGGTCAATACCAAAATCATATTGATTATAAATAATGTCAGCAAATTTGGAAAACGCAGCAGTGGCCACAGGACTGGAAAAGCTGTTTTCATCCCAATCCCAAAGAAAGGTAATGCCAAACAACGCTCAAACTACCACACAATTGCACTCATCTCACACGCTAGTAAAGTAATGCTCAAAATTCTCCAAGCCAGGCTTTAGCAATATGTGAACTGTGAACTTCCAGCTGTTCAAGCTGGTTTTAGAAAAGGCAGAGGAACCAGAGATCAAATTGCCAACATCCGCTGGATCATTGAAAAAGCAAGAAAGTTCCAGAAAAACATCTATTTCTGCTTTAATGACTATGCCAAAGCCTTTGACTGTGTGGATCACAATAAACTGTGGAAAATTCTGAAAGAGATGGGTATACCAGACCACCTGATCTGCCTCTTGAGAAACCTGTATGCAGGTCAGGAAGCAACAGTTAGAACTGGACATGGAACAACAGACTGGTTCCAAATAGGAAAAGGAGTACGTTAAGGCTGTATATTGTCACCCTGCTTATTTAACTTATATGCAGAGTACATCATGAGAAACGCCGGGCTGGAGGAAGCGGAAGCGGGAATCAAGATTGCTGGGAGAAATATCAATTACCTCAGATATGCAGATGACACCACCCTTGTGGCAGAAAGGGAAGAAGAACTAAAGAGCCTCTTGATGAAAGTGAAAGAAGAGAGTGAAAAAGTTGGCTTAAAGCTCAACATTCAGAAAGCTAATATCATGGCATCCTGTCCCATCACTTCATGAGCAATAGATGGGGAAACAGAAACAGTGGCTGACTTTGTTTTTTGGGCTCCAAAATCACTACAGATGGTGATTACAGCCATGAAATTAAAAGACACTTGCTCCTTGGAAGGAAAGTTACGACCAACCTAGACAGCATATTAAAAAGCAGAGACATTGCTTTGCCAACAGAGGTTCATCTTGTCAAGGCTATGGTTTTTCCAGTGGTCATGTATGGATATGAGAGTTGGACTGTGAAGAAAGCTGAGCACCGAAAAATTGATGCTTTTGAACTGTGGTGTTGGAGAAGACTCTTGAGAGTTTCTTGGACTGCAAGGAGATCCAACCAGTCCATCCTAAAGGAGATCAGTCCTGAGAGTCCATTGGAAGGACTGATGTTGAAGCTGAAGCTCCAATACTTTGGCCACCTGATGTGGAGAGCTGACTCATTTGAAGAGACCCTGATGCTGGGAAAGATTGAGGGTAGGAGGAGAAGGGGACGACAGAGGACGAGATGGTTGGATGACATCACTGACACAATGGACATGGGTTTGGGTGGACTCTGGGAGTTGATGATGGACAGGGAGGCCTGGTGTGCTGTGGTTCATGGGGTCGCAAAGAGTCGGACATGACTGAGCGACTGAACTGATATATATTCCTTGCTGCCAAAGTTGGAGAAGCTCTATACGATCAGCAAAAACAAGACCTGGAGTTTACTGTGGCTCAGACCATGACTCCTTATTCCAAAACTCGGGCTTAAATTGAAGAAAGTAGGGGAAACCTTGGCCATTCAAATATTGTGGTTATGATGATAACAGTAGAGGTGATGAATAGATTCAAGGGATTAGATCTGGTAGACTGAAAAACTATGGAAGGAAGTTTGTAGCATTGAGTAGGAAGTAGTGACTAAAACCATCCCAAAGAAAAATGCAAGAAGGCAAAGTGTTTGTTGGGGGTGGCCTTTACAAATAACAGAAAAGAAGTGAAAGGCAAAGGAGAAAAGGAAAGATAAACCCAGCAGAATGCAGAGTTCCAGAGAACATTCAGGGGACAAGACAGGTTTAAGTGAAAAGTGCAAGGAAATAGAGAAAAACAATAGAATGGGAAAGACTAGAGATCTTCAAGAAAATTGGAGATACCAAGGGAAAATTTCATGCAAGGATGGGTACAATAAAGGACAAAAACAGCAAGGACTTAACAGAAGCAGAAGAGATTAAGAAGAGGTGGCAAGAATACACAGAAGAACTAGACAAAAAAGGTCTTAATGACCCAGATAACCATGATGGTGTGATCACTCACTTAGAGCTAGACATCCTGGAGTATGAAATCATTGGGCCTTAGGAGGCATCACTATAGTGAAGGTGATGGAATTCCAGCTAAACTATTTAAAATCATAAAAGATGATGCTGTAAAAGTGCTGTACTGAATATGTCAGCAAATTTGGAAAACTGAGCAGTAGCCACAGAACTGGGAAAGGTCACCTTTTCATTGCAGAGCCAAAGAAGGGCAATGCCAAAGAATATTTGAACTACCGTACAATTGAGCTCATTTCATATGTTAGCAAGGTAAAGCTCAAAATGCTTCAAGTTAGGCTTCAGCAGTACATGAACCTGAGAACTTCCAGATAGTTGAACAAGCTGGTTTAGAAAAGGCAGAAACCAGAGGTCAAATTGGCAACATTCATTAGATCAAAACATCTACTTCTGCTTCATTGACTACGCTAAAGCCTTTGTGTGGATCACAGCAAACTGGAAAATTATTAAAATGGATGGGAATACCAGACCACCTTACTTGTCTTGTGAGAAACCTGTATGCAAGTCAAGAAGCAACAGTTAGAACCAGACATGAAACAACAGACTGGTTCAAAACTGGGAAAGGAGTACATCAAGGCTGATATTATCACTCTGCTTATCTAACTTATATTCAGAGTACATCATGCAAAATGCTGAACTGGATGAATCAGAAACTGGAATTAAGGTTTCCTGAAGAAATATCAACAGCCTCAGATATGCAGATGATACCGATCTAATGGCAGAAAGCAAAGAGAAACTAAGAGCCTCGTGATGAAAGAGGAGAGTGTCAAAGTTGGCTCAAAACTCAGCATTCAGAAAACTAAGATCATGGCACCTGGTCTCATCACTTCATGGCAATTAGATGGAGGAAAATGTGGAAACAGTGACAGATTTCATTTTCTTGGACTTTAAAGTCACTGTGGGTGGTGACTGCAGCCGTCAAAAACACTTGCCTCTTGGAAGAAAAGCTATAACAATCCTAGATACATTTTAAGAAGCAGAGACATCACTTCAGAGCTATAGTTTTTCCAGTGTCAGATACAGATGTGAGAGTTGGACCATAAAGAAGGCTGAACGCGGAAGAGTTGCTGCTTTCGAATTGTGCTGGAGAAGACTCTTGAGAGTCCCTTGGACAGCAAAGAGATCAAACCAGTCAGTCCTACAGGAAATCAGCCCTAAATATTCATTGGAAGGAGTGATGCTGAAACTTTAGCTTCAATACTTTGGCCACCTGATGCGAAGAGCCGACTGCCTCATTGGAAAAGACACTGATGCTGGGAAAGATTGAGGGCAGGAAAAGAGGGCAACAGAGAATGAGATGGTTGGATAGCATCACTGAGTCAGTAAACATGAGTTTGTGCAAACTCTGAAATAGTGAAGGACAGGGACGCCTGACTTGCTGCAGTCCATGGGGTTGCAGAGTCAGACATTACTTAGTGACTGAACAACAGCATGGTGCATCAGTCTCCTTTGATTTGAAACATTTCCTCCGCCTTGTGTTCTTTTGCTTTTGTTGTTTCTGCTGCTCTGGGTCTTCACGTTGCATGCTGGCTTTCTCTAGTTTTGGTTGGGAATTCCTCTCTAGTTGCAATGTGTGGGCTCTAGGGTGCATGGGCTCAGTAGTTGTGGCTCACAGGCTTAGTAGTTCTGTGGCATGTGAGATCTTTGCTGACCATGGATCAAATCTGTGTCCCCTGGATTGGCAAGTATATTCTTAACCACTGGACCAGCAGGAAAGTCCTCTTTGTCTTTTACGACAGTTAAATTCCTGAAGAATAGTTAACTTCTGCTTCCCTTCCATTTTCAAAAAATAGAATGCTTTTCATTTTGGGTTTGCCTGATGTTGCTCCTTGTTAGACTCAGGTTGTGTGTTCCAGCTGGAATGTACTATATAAGTGATGTTATGTCCTCAGGGTGTCAGAAGTACAGGCATGCCATATGATTTGGCCTCTCATGGTGATGCTAATTTAATCATCCAGTTGAGGTGTTCCACAATTTCTTCACTGTGCAATTACATTTCTTACTTTAGATCACATAGCTACCTTACTCCATAATTTTCTCCTAAATTTAGCATTACCTAATGGTTCTTCCTTCAGCCAGTTTTTCTAAGATTGCAAAATAATTTCAACCCCAGCAGTTTACACAATTACCAGTCAGCACTTGACATGGATTATACTGTAATCAAGAGCCATTTTCCCTTCTCCCATTCATTCATCTATTTTATTATTAGTATAGACTCAGTGATGCCTTTGTTTTTGTAGCTTAAAAGTATGTTGACATAGAGCTCATTCTTTTGTCCATTAGTTCTGTTTTTCAAACTTTTGTGCCCATACAAGAAAAGTATTGATAAAAATGTTTTTCACTGAGTTAACACATGTATATGCATATGTAACATTTCATATATGCATATACATATATCAACATTTCACAAAATAATTTTACTATGAAGGATGCACACTGTTTTATTTAGTTTTTAAGGTTGGTTATGGTCAATAAATTTGTATCTCAAGAAATTTAAAATCACTTTCCTATGCTATATTGCCATGTAGCGGTGACCTTTGGTTTCTTTTTTCATTGTTTCTTTCCTTTTTTAAACTTTCTAATATGGAACATTACAAACGTACAGAAGCAGATAATCAGAGCATTTAATCCATAAAATGTTAGTATGTGTCTCTAAAAGGTAAGGGTTTTAAAAAATATATCAACATACCGATAATAGTTACTTAATATCATGTTTCTAGTTAGTTTCTAGTTAAGTGAATGGAAATGGTTATTCTAAATGCTTTACTGGAGTTAGTTTGTTCAAATCAGGATCAAATACAGTTCACACATCGCATTACAATTTGACGCTTGAACAACATGGGTTTGAACTCTGAGTTCATTTATATGCAGATTGTTTTTAATGCATGGACTTCCCAGGTGGCTCATTGGTAAAGACCTGCCAAGCAGGAGACATGTGTTTGATTCTTGGGACTGGAAGATCCCTGGAGGAGGAAACGGTAACCCACTTCAGTATTCTTGCTAGGAAATCCCATGGACAGAGCAGCCTGGCAGGCTACATTCCATAGGGTCACAAGAGTCGAACATGACTGAGTGACCCAGAAACAACAGTTTAGTAATATACAGTTCAAGGTTAGTTGAATCCATGATGCAGAATCTTGGATATGGAAAGGCTGGTGACTAAGTTATATTGGTATATTCAGCTATGCAGAAAGTCAGTGTTCCTAACCCCCCTGTGTGTTGTTCAGAATTTGATTATAATTAATGTCTTATGTTTTGGTTTTTTTCAGTCATCACCTCCTTTGGTTTTAAAATGTCTTTGAAAATAATATATTTTTACTGAAGTACTTTATTCTGTATGATGTTTTTTTCTTTCTCCAGTTTTATTGAGATATAATGGACATACAGCACTGTACAATTTTAAGGTGTACAGCATGGTGATTTTTTAAGATTTTGACATATAATTGGTATATCTTGTGTCTTTTAAAACCTGTAGAGAATCCTATTTTAGATAGATTCTTGCTGTATATAGACAGTTGTTCACTGAATGAAGTAATGAATGTGTTATGCTTTTAGGTTCGGCGTTGGGCTATCCTGACTGCAAGAAACTTGGGGAAGGTGGATAGAGATGATTACTATGACTTACAGGAGGTTTTGACTTGCCTTTTTAAAGTTATTGAGTTGGGACTTCTAGAAAACCCAGACATTTATACTTCTTCTGTCCTTGAGAAGGGTAAACTGGTTCTTCTGCCTTCACACATGTATGATACTGCCAACTACAAAAACTATTGGTTAGGTGAGTATTGTTGCTGTGCGAATAACAATTAGTATTTTCCAGTAGTGTTTTTTTTTTAAGCCTACAATAATGTGGCACTTTTATTTATTTTTTAATTGGCAGATAATTGATATATATTGTGTTAGTTTATACCATACATTGACATGATCCAGTATGATTATCCAGCAGAAGTCATCTTATTTGGTAATCTGATCAGAATTGCTAAATAAAAGATTTCATAGTTTCCAGTTCTTGTTCTGTCATTAAATTGACTATTATAACATCTCTTTTTAAACACTTTTTATCCTAGAAATCATCTGTGTAACAAGTATCTTTTGAAGTATGGCAAGCAGATCTTTTATTTAAGGCAGTATTAGATGTAACAAAATATTAGCATAGCAGTTGACTTTAATAGAATTTAATCTATTGAATAAAGGAGATTTAATACCTCTTTTCTTATCTGTAAAATATTTCCTGGCAGAAAAAGATATTAACTTTGGTTTTCAACAAATTCTATGTTGAACTTAAAATAGTTCTGTTCATTGATTCAGAGTCTTAGTCATGTGTATAATTGGCAGTGCTTGATACTTGAAATATGATGATCTCAAAACTTAAGGGATCTTCGATTTTATGAGATTAAATTGTGTGTAGTCATTTGGGAAATTGCTTTTAAACAAAGTTCATAGCATTTTCCCTTTTATTCAGTCTAAAGTTCTCTTCTTGGGAGCAGTTGTATGTGAATGTCTCAGACTTCAGTGTCTGGGGCACTGGATTATGTTTTGCTTCATCTTACTGCCATGTTATTATTCTGCCAACTAAACCAGAGAAGACTTTAGAACAGTGTTAATGTAATCAGTTCAAGCAAACTGTATGTGGTCTTACAGGTATTTGCATGCTGCTGACCATTCTTGAGGAGCAAGCCATGGATTCACTGTTGCTGGGCTCAGATAAACAGAATGATTTTATGCAGTCAATACTTCACACCATGGAGAGGCAATCAAATGGTAATAAACTTGCTGAATTTTGTGATGGTGGTGCACTTTAAAATTGCTAGAGTCACTGTAAGAATATGGATGTATGATAGAGAGGAAAGAATGAACACTTCATGGTTTTTGTCACAGATTCAGAATGTTAAATTGGAAAGGACCTTTAGAGTTTAACTCAGCACCTTATTTTCATAAGAAACTGAAGCCCAGAGATGTTAACTTACTTTCTCAAGTTGTAATACCCAATTAGTAGTAGAATGAAGACTAGACTAGAACCTAAAGGAGGTGAATTTCTAATAATGTGATAGTAAATTTATGCAGAAAGCTTCTGCTGTCCCACCATCTCACTTTTGCTTGGTTTTTCATTTCACTTCGGTTTTCTATGGTTACACTGTCCAACACAGTGACTGCCAGCCAAATGTGATTATTTAAATTTATACTAATGAAACTTAAAAACTCAGGTTTTCAGTCCTTTTAGCTATAACTTCAAGAGCTCAGTGGCCACATGTGCCTGGCTGCTACTATATTAAACTGTGCAGACAGTGAGCCATTTCCATCATCACAGAAAGTTCCCTTGGACAATGCTACTCAGATAGCCTAATAAATAGGGTCTAAAATTGTATTTGTTAGTGGAGGCCAGCTTGGTTTTATCAGGCTTATCAGTGAGAGTCTGTACTAGTGTTTCTAATCTTAACCTTCTTTATGAAGGAATGAATCAGCAAAGACTAAGCATGCTAAATCCTGTGAAAAATACAATTTTTTACCCACTTTCACTTCTCTTTAGGCAACTTCGATATAGATACAAATTCTTTTGTGGAGAATTTTAAAAGAAATATGTAACTGTTACTATTTCTTTGATCACATGTATTTTCTTGTGAGATTATTTCTGATCAAGGTTATTACTAATTCACTTACCAGAATTTACTAAGTAATTTGTTCATTTCTTTCCCAGTGCTTTGCACGTGTGTTTCTGTTCTCTCTGTTAATCCAGCTCCCCTAACATGCTTCAGAATGAGTCACCTCTTTAGGAAACTTTCTGTAATTGTCTTTACCTTACTGATGACTTCATATTTGAGAGCTTGCTAGACAAAAGATAGCTGCTGTGTAGGATAAAAAAAGTATATGAGAAGTTCTGCACAAATAACTATGATTTTTTTTTTTTAAAGTAGAGTCTAAGAACCCTGAAGAAAATAAAGCAGAAAGTTCTTGGGTTGTCACAGATTGTGTCAGTGAGACCACTTACTCCATAGAGTACTGTGGAAGGTCAAATGACTAGGAGTGTTTGCTGCAGGGGGAGATATTTGAGCTGAACTGTAAGGAAGGATAGGAAGGTTTTTTTTTTTTTTTCTTTTTTTTGATTGGTGGTACTAATAGTGAAGCTGTTCTAGTTCTTACTTGGGAAAAGCCAGCGATCCTTTTTTTCCCCTATAGATGGTGTAAGTATATGAGAAGTTCTGCACAAATAACTATGATTTTTTTTTTTTTAAAGTAGAGTCTAAGAACCCTGAAGAAAATAAAGCAGAAAGTTCTTGGGTTGTCACAGATTGTGTGAGTGAGACCACTTACTCCATAGAGTACTGTGGAAGGTCAAATGACTAGGAGTGTTTGCTGCAGGGGGAGATATTTGAGCTGAACTGTAAGGAAGGATAGGAAGGTTTTTTTTTTTTTCTTTTCTTTGATTGGTGGTACTAATAGTGAAGCTGTTCTAGTTCTTACTTGGGAAAAGCCAGCGATCCTTTTTTTCCCTATAGATGGTGTATCTTTAGTATGGAAAAATAAATCTGAGAAGAACAGAGTAAGAGCTCATGAGTGCCTGACTGAGAAATTTAAATTTCCTTAGGAAACAGTGAGGAACAGTTCAAGGTCTGTGAGTGGGTCAGTGTTTTGCCACTGCACATAGAGAAGGAGGAAGCGACTGGGTGCCAGAGTACGGGAGTAGTGGGTATTCCTGCCAGTTGGATGGAATGGAAATAACAAGGCCACATTGAGACAGGCGTGGATGAAAAGAGTGTATCTCTGCTTGTCTGGTGCCTCAGGGATTCAATCTCGTACACCAGCCAGATGAGACAATTCAGGATTTCTTGTATCATGGACTTTGTTTAGATCTGGAGATACCAAGTTTTTCTTACTTCTCTCTTCCTCACTTCTGCTATTTATTGAAGGATGAGATTATAAAGGTCTGGAAGAAGCAGAGTAGGAAAGATTCTTAAAGGTGTGGCAAACAGGGTGAGAAAGTTGAGTTTATCTATCTAGACTATCTCAGTTTGTATCACATGAAAAAATTTCTTAACCAAGGTGTATTGCTTTTAAAAAAATGCAAACACTACTTAAATGTTTGCCAGCTTTCTAAAACCTGTAGTTGGCAGTGCTTAAATTACTTCCTGCTTTGCTTTCAGTTTTGTTGCTACCCAGGTAAAGGGTGCTTAATTCTCAATATATTTTAGTACTTTTTTAAAATTGTTTTTTAATTTGGCAATTACTCCATTGTGTTTCAGATGATAGTGTGGATCCTTTCTGGCCAGCGTTACACTGTTTCATGGTGATTCTGGATCGCCTTGGATCTAAGGTCTGGGGTCAACTTATTGATCCTATTGAAGCATTTCAAACCATTATAAACAACGTGAGCTACAATAGAGAGATCCAGAATATACGGAATAGCTCTATGAGGTTTGTTCAGTTCCTGTGTCAGGATATCAAATAGTCTGCATAAGGAAGTCTATTAATTGACAGGATTTTTTCCCCCTTTAGTTCAGTAATTTCTATTTATTCTTAATATTTTTAAGGACCAAGTTAGAGCCGGAGTCATATTTGGATGATATGGTGACTTGCAGCCAGATTGTATACAATTACAATCCTGAAAAGACCAAAAAGGTATAAAGCATTTTTAGAGTTCAGATGATACTGTAGTGCCTTTATATAGTGTAGACAGTAAAGTGATCAGTTGCAGTGTTGATTTTATGGTATATAGCTGTTCTGAATCAACTGTTGCATAAAATTTTTCTGATTGAACAGTGGTGCCTGGGGAAAAATGGACACAGTTTGAAATTTTTAGGTATGGTTAGGAAGGGTGGAATGTTTATGGTATGGGGGAGATAAATCACATGACTGAAAATCGTAATGAGCTGATGGAAAGAATTTCAGAGTGCATGGAGGTTTTGTAACTTTAACCTTTTCATGAAACTTTAGCCTCAAAATTGAACTGTTTTCAATTTCTTGGGGGTCCGTATATGTGTACCAAAACAGGACAATTGAGCAATATGTTTTCTTGTTTACAACTTGTGTGTCAAGCAACCATGAATGGTGCTTGTTTATCTGAATGTCTGTATCTCTTTCATTTTAGGATTCAGGGTGGAGATCAGCCATTTGCCCTGATTATTGTCCTAACATGTATGAAGAAATGGAAACATTAGCTAACGTGCTCCAGTCAGATATTGGTCAGGACATGCGTGTTCATAACAGCACATTTCTGTGGTTCATCCCTTTCGTGCAATCCCTCATGGACCTGAAGGATCTGGGTGTGGCTTACATAGTGGAGGTTATTCACCATCTATACTCTGAAGTCAAAGATGTTCTCAACCAGACAAACGCTGTGTGCGACAAAGTCACTGAGTTTTTCCTTCTGATTTTGGTGTCCGTGATTGAACTGCATAGAAATAAAAAATGTCTACATTTGCTGTGGGTTAGTTCCCAGCAGTGGGTGGAGGCTGTGGTGAAGTGTGCCAAGCTCCCGACCACAGCGTTTGCACGGAGTTCTGAGAAGTCATCTGGAAACTGTTCCAAAGGCACAGCAATGATATCGTCCCTGTCGCTGCATTCGATGCCCTCCAACTCTGTGCAGCTGGCTTGTGTGCAGCTGATTAGAAGTCTCCTGAAAGAAGGCTATCAGCTTGGGCAACAGACACTCTGTAAGCGGTTCTGGGATAAGCTCAACTTATTCCTGCGAGGAAATTTATCTTTAGGTTGGCAGTTGACTAGTCAGGAAACCCATGAGCTACAAACTTGTTTAAAGCAAATTATTAGGAACATAAAATTCAAAGTACCTCAATGTAGCACTTTTGTGGATCTGAATCCATGTAAGACGCCTCCTTCATCTTATAAAGAAGAAAGTGAACAAATGGGGAAGAAGTCTGAAAAAGATGGGCACTGTCTGGAAAATTCCAGCCCAACATTTTCTAAAGAACCGATGAAAGCTGATACTTATCAAGTGCAAGAGAGTATTTTGAGCAAAGCAAATAATGCCATAGAAGAGAATAAAGAGCCATATTATATAAAAGATTTGAAACTAGAAGACCACCTGTCAGCTGAGTCATGTTTGAAGCTGAGTAGTAAAAACCTTGCCTGTGAAAGAGTTCAAAATCAAGTTAAAATAAGTACAGGGAAATATAAATCTGTAAAAGAGAATTCCTCATATACCCCACAGAATGGTACTTTAAGAAGTGGTCCAGAAAAAGTATTTGACAGAGGAATAATAATATCAAGGCACTTGTTGACTGTTTCTAGCACAGACTCTCTGGAAAAAGTGTCTGCCTCTAATGAGGACTTCTCTTTAAAGGATGTTGGTCTTGGCAAAAGCTCAAAAGCAAAATCCAAGACACATAAAGATGGAGTGTGTGCTAAGTTGTCACATGTAATAAAAAAGCAACACAGGAGAAGTATCAGTTTAGAGGAAAACCTGACTGTGTCTAGCATTGAGAGTTTCTATTCAAAGAAAGATACAGGAGGTCAGAAAGGAGGTGGAAACATATGCAATCCTTCTTTAGTCCCAAATGGTATTCTGGATGATAAAAATGGAGAACAAAAATCTCAAAGCTGTTTACTGCTGAGAAAGAAAGAAGTAAAGAAAGAAAAGTTAGATATTTTCTCTACCCCTGAAAATAGTTGTCAAATACAGGAATCTCATGTTGATACCAAAGATTTGGTGTCACTCACAGAAATGACCAACATTTGCATGACGAAAGCATCTCCCTTTAAAGAGCCTGTGGCTGGTCATGAATTGAGAGATAGGAAAATTAGTAGGAGCACTGATTCGTTTTCTTCTAATTTAAGAGAACAGGACCTTAGCAGCAGTCCACAGCCTGACACCTTAACAGATTCTCAGGTAGACAGAGACCTCCACAGATTATCTTTAATAGCTCAAGCCAGTGTTACTAAGTTCCCATCAGATTCAACTCAAAAAAGTTCATCCCAGATACAAAGGAAAGTAAAAGATGAGAAAAGATGGTTCACAGCAAACCAAAATATCAGGGAAACCTGCCGTGCACAGGTTATTATTATTTCAGATTCCGATGACGATGAGGAGGAAAGAATTCTGGGTTTGAAGAAACACATGAAAGAGATCAAAGCATGCATTGAGAAAGAATGTCCAGAGCAACATACTTCAATAGCTAACACAAATGTGGAACAGAAGGTAATAAAGGAAGAAAATCCAGTGTCCCTTTTGCAGTTTGAGGAATCTGATTCTCAGTTTTTTGAGTTTGAGACTCCATGTGAAGTGTTTTCAGTTTGGCAAGATGAGAAACCAGACAAGAATTCAGCTCAAGAGAATGAAAAAAATCTATGCTTGACTCATGTGGGTGATACTGCAAATGATTGGGGTTATGAGACAGATTATGTATCTGAAGAGGTCATTAAAAAGGTAGCAGAGAACTTTGAAGAGTGCACAAAAGCACATAGTAGTAGTACTTCTGTTGAGAACTTTTGTGAAATTGAAGTAAAAAAACCCAAGAGAAGACGATATGAAAAACCTATAGCTGAAGATCCTCTAAGGCCTTCTTCATCTTCTGTCAAAAATGAGGACCAGTCTGATACTAACAAGGGAAATCTGAGTGAAAATGATTTTAAAGGTGTAGACACAAGGTCTACAGTTCCCAGTTCAAGTGTTCAGAGAAACGCTGCGGTTTCCCCAAAGAAGTCTCCTCCAAAGCCTCGCACGTATTCCAGACCTGTCAGGAAAGTTCCAGTGGTTAAAACTTCTAAGAAATCCCATTCAGATACCAAGAAAGGGCAGAGTAAAAGCTCCCATTACATAAGCTGTAGAACAACTCCTGCTATTGTGCCGCCAAAGAAATTGCGCCAGTGTCCTGAACCAACTTCAACAGTTGAGAAACTTGGCCTGAAAAAGGCCCCTCGTAGGGCATTTGAATTGTCCCAGCGATCTTTAGAGTGTATAGTTCAGCTGCGTGACCATGGCAAAACTGTTGGAGTAGTGGATACCCGGAAGAAGACGAAGTTAATTTCTCCTCAGACTCTCTCTGTCAGAAATAATAAGAAACTGCTAACGAGTCAAGACCTTCAGATGCAAAGGCAGATGAGATCCAAATCGCGGCGAAACAGACAAGAACGTTTCGATTGTCAAAGTACAGATATGACACGAGCAGGGCCACATGCCGCACAGAGTTCTATGCCAGAATCAAATAAGTCAGATTATAGTCATAATGGAGGAGCCGAAGTAACTGCTAACAATAAGGGAAAACAGTTAATAACTTGTCAGTCTTCTGAAACAGAACCCGTGAAAGCAAACCAGTGTAATCCTGTCATGGTAAATGGAAGAATAGCAACAAATGAAGTCATTGTTCCTACCTCAGAGGACCCATTAGGCAGAGGTGACCTGACAGTTCATCGTTTAGAGGTGGCGACTTTGAAAGAGGGAGAGCCTGAATTCAGCAGTGACATAGAGGAAGATAATATATTTTTAACACAGCGTGACCCTGAAGACATGGATTTATGTTCACAAATCGAGAGAGAGGATGATAAACTCATTGAAGTCATTCCTGGAAAAGATACAATCCAGGGAGAGGAAGATTGTGTGGGTCGGCCTCAGTTGGAATCTTTGGGTAGCACAAAATGTAAGTACAAAGATTGTGTTGAAGCTCTGAAAAACCCGGGTGAGTACTGCTCAAAACACGCAAAAACTAAAGCCACAGATGAAGATGTATTTCGTAAACCGGGCTTGCCTCTGTCTGTATCAAAACGTTCGAGACCTTCCACGACCAAGGTTTTTAGTTCAAGCAGTACTTCACGGATTGCTGGTCTCTCCAAGTCTTTGGAAAGTACTGCAGCCCTCCCATCATCTCTGAAAAATAAGTCAAGTGGGGCACAGTCTGTTCTGAAAGGACCACAGCCTCCCCTTCTGGTGTCTCTGAAGCCAGTGGCTGAAGTGAAAGGTCTGTGCAATGTTTTCCCTGCTCAGACTCCAGATAACTCCAACAGGCAAGGTTCAAGCGTTCCATTTGGGGAAAACAGATCTTTTTTGACTTCCTCTCCAGTAAACATTCTCATGTCACCACAGTCCATCTGTGATACTTTCGTAAAAGAGGTCTTGAAATGGAGATACGAGATGTTTGTGAACTTTGATCAGTGTGGGCCCCCGTTGAGTCTGTGTCAGTCCATCACAAGACGGGTGCCTATCAGGTTTCAAGACTGTGGAGATTATTTTAGTGTGTTTTTCCCTTTGGTTTTACTGAATACTTTTGAAACGGTAAGTATATGTTTTAATCATATACATCCAGATTTTGAAATTGCCTTTCTTTACCATGTTAAGAGAACAGCTAAAATAACTTACTGCATTTTGATTTAGGTGTAACTTGTAAATGTCATGTTGAACAGACATTGTGCCAGGCACTGTTCTAGATGTTGGTCATACAGAGGAAATAGCAGTACTTTCCTAATCTCTGCCCTTCTGGAACTTACAGACCCAGTCCAGGAGTGGCAAAGGAGGAAATGTTTTTCAGTGCAAAGGAAAGGGAAGACTTCTCAGAGGAGATAGTCTCCCATCTGCATTTAATTATGTTTAAAAAAATTGTTTTAATTGGAGGATAATTTACAATATTGTGTTAGTTTCTGCCACACATCAGCATGAATCTGCCGTAAGTATATGTGCGTCCCCTCCCTCTTGAACCACCCACCCCATCCTCCCCCTCTAGGTGTCACAGAGCACTGGGCTGAGCTCCCCAAGCCATATGGCAAATTCCCCCTGGCTATTGTACACATGGAAATGTATACATTTCAGTTCAATTTGTCCATCCCTCTCTTTCCCCTGTTGTGTCCACAACTCTCTTTATGTTTGTGTCTCCATTACTGCCCTGCAAATAGGTTCATCAGTACCATTTTTCTAGATTCCATATGTATGCATTAATATTCAGTATTTGTTTTTCTGACTGACTTCACTCTGTATTCCAGGCTCATCCACTTGATTAGAACTGACTCAGATGCATTCCTTTTTATGGCTGAGTAATATTTCATTGTATATGTACTATAACTTCTTTATTCATTCATCTGTCAGTGGACATCTAGGTTGCCTACATGTCCTAGCTATTGTAAATAGTGCTGCAATGAATCATGGGGTACATAGGTCTTTTTCAGTTACGGTTTCCTCGGGGTATATGCCCAGTAGTGGGATTGTTGGATCATGTGGTAGTTTTATTCCTAGTTCTTTAAGGAATCTCCATACTGTTTTCCATAGTGACTATATCAATTTACATTCCCACCAACAGTGGAAGAGGGTTCCCTTTTCTCTACACCCTCTCCAGCATTTATTATTTGTAGATTTTTTGATAATGGCCATTCTGACCAGTGTGAGGTGATACCTCATTGTAGTTTTGGTTTTCATTTTTCTAATAACAAGCAATGTTGAGCATATTTTCATGTGTTTATTAGCCACCTGTATGTCTTTGGAGAAATGTCTGTTTAGGTCTTTTCTCCCACTGTTTGATTGGGTTGTTTTTGTGCTGTTGAGCTGCATAAGCTGCTTGTGTATTTTGGAGATTAATCCTTTGTCACTTGTTTCATTTGCAGTTATTTTCTCCTAGTCTGAGGGTTTGCTTTTTCATTTTGTTTAGTTTCCTTTGCTATGCAAAACTTTTAAGTTTAACCTAGGTCCCACTTATTTTTGTTTTTATTTTCATTACTCTTGGAGGTGGGTCAAAGAGTATCTTGCTCTGATGTATGTCAAAGAGTGTTCCTCTGAGAGTTTTATAATTTCCTCCAAGAGTTTTATATACATAGGTATACCTGTGGCTGATTCATGTTGACCTTTACCCCCTCTTCTTAATCTCTTCTGCTTCTGTTAGGTCCTTGCTGTTTCTGTCCTTTACTTGGGCCCATGTTTGCATGAAATGTTCCCTAGGCATCTCCAATTTTCTTGACAAGATCCCTAGTCTTTCCCATTCTGTTGTTTTGTTTTGCACTGTTTATTTAAGAAGGCCTTCTTATCTCTCCTTGCAATTCTCTGGAACTCTGAATTCAGTTGAGTACATTTTTTGCTTTCTCACTTGCCTTTAGCTTCTCTTCTTTTCTCAGCTACTTCTAAAGCTTTCTCAGACAACCACCTTGCGTTTTTGCATTTCTTTTTCTTTGGGATGGTTTTGGTCATTGCCTCCTGTACAGTGTTACGAATCTTTGTCCATAGTTTTTCAGGCATTCAGTCTACCAGATCTAATCCCGTGAGTCTATTCATCGTCACCACTGTGTAATCATAAGGGATTTGATTTAGGTCATACCTAAATGGCCTAGTGGTTTCCTGCTTTCTTCAATTTAAGCTTGAATTTTGCAATAAGAAGCTCATGATCTGAGCCATAGTCAGCTTCAGGTCTTGTTTTTACTGACTGTATAGAGCTTCTCTATCTTTGGCTACAAAGAACATAATCAGTCTGATTTCATAATGTCCATCTCGTGAAATGTCTATATCCGTGTGTAGAGTTGTCTCTTGTGTTGTTGGAAAAGGGTGTTTGCTGTGTCCAGTATGTTCTCTTGACAAAACTGTGTGTTATCCTTGTCCTGCTTCATTTTATACTCCAAGGCCAAACTTGCCTGTTATTGTGGCTATCTCTGGACTTCCTACTTTTGCATTCCAATCCCCTGTAATGAAAAGGACATCTTTCTTGTTACTTCTAGAAGGTGTTGAAGGTCTTCATAGAACTGGTCAGCTTCTTTGATGTCACTGATTGGGTCGTAGACTTGAATTACTGTGATGTTGAATGGTTTGCCTTGGAGATGAACTGAGATCATTTTGTCATTTTTGAGACTGCACTCAAGTATTGCATTTCAGACTCTTGTTGACTGTGAGGGCTATTCCATTTCTTCTTAGGGATTCTTGCCCACCGTAGTAGATAAAATGGTCATCTGAATTAAATTCTCCCATTCCCATGCATTTTATTTTAGTTCATTGATTCCTAAGATGTTGATGTTCACTCTTGCCATCTCATGCTTGACCATGTCCAATTTACCTTGATTCATGGACCTAACATTCCAGGTTCCTATGCATTATTGCTCTTTACAGCATCAGACTTAACTTTCACCACTAGACACATCCACAGCTGAGCATTGTTTCCACTTTGACCTAGCCTCTTCTTTCTTTCTGGAGCTATTAGTAATTGCCCTTTGCTCTTCCCCAGTAGTGCATTGGACACCTTCCAACCTGGGGAGCTCATCTTCATTTATCATATTTTTTTTGTCTTTTCATACGGAAATCAGTCTTGGGTGTTCATTGGAAGGACTGATGCTGAAGCTGAAACTCCAATATTTTGGCCACCTGATGTGAAGAGCTGACTCATTTGAAAAGACCCTGATGTTGGGAAAGATTGAAGGCAGGAGGAGAAGGGCACGGCAGAGGATGAGATGGTTAGATGGCATCACCAACTCAATGGACATGAGTTTGGGTAAATTTCGGGAGTTGGTGATGGACCAGGGAGGCCTGGTGTGCTGCGGTGCATGGTGTTACAAAGAGTTGGACACGACTGAGCGACTGAACTGAACTGTCCATGGGATTCTCCAGGCAAGAATGCTGGAGTGTGTTGCATTTCCTTCTCCAGTGGACCACCGTTTGTCAGAACTCTTGACTCAGATCTGTCTCTCTTGGGTGACCCTGCACAGCATGTTAATGGCTTCATTTGGTTACATAAGCTCCTTCATCATGACAAGGCTGTGATCCACGAAGAGGCCAATAATGTTGTCTGCCAGAGGTTCACATAAAAAGAGCTATTAATAGAAACGTTTACGATGAAAGGATTTGTTGTTCAGTCGCTCAGTCATGTCCAACTCTTTGCAACCCCACGCCAGGCTTCCCTGTCCTTCACTCTCTCCCAGAGTTTGCTCAGATTCATGTCCATTGAATCAGTGATGCCATCCAACCATCTCATCCTCTGTCACCCCCACCCCCTTCTCCTCTTGCCCTCAGTCTTTCCTAGCATCAGTGTCTTTTCCAGTGAGTCAGCTCTTCACATCAGGTGGCCAGAGTATTGGAGCTTTAGCTTCAGCATGTTAACTGTACGTGCTACTATTTTCTATTTGTTACCCTTGTTGTCTATTCCTGTTTTTATTGTCCCTGCTCTTGTGGTTTTAATTGAGCATTTTATATAATTTTATTTTCTCTCTATCCTTAGAATATCAACAAAAATTTTTTTTAGTGATTACCTTAGAGCTTGTAGTATATATTTACAACTAAGGCTGTGTTCAGATAACACTTCATGAATAGTGTGTCTACCTTACAATAACAAAATAGTCCTGATTTTTCCTTGTCATCCAATGTATCATTGCTGTCATTTGTTTCGCATACACGTAGACCTATGTTACACACACACACACACACGTAGTTGTATATGTGTTGAATCCATAGTTGAATATGTTGTTGCTATTATTTTGAATGAGCTATCATTATCTGTTACATGAATTAAAAATAAGAAACAAAGGTTTTAATTTTGCCTTCATGTATTCATTCTCTGATGGTCTTCCTTTGTTTATGTAGCTTTGAGTTCTGACCTATATAGTTTTCCTTCTCTTTGCATATCTTTTAACTTTTCTTGCACGATAGGTGCAGTGGTGACAAATGCCTTCAAATTTTGTGTGAGAAGATCTTTATTTCTCCTTCACTTTTAAAGGATAATTTGCAGGATTCAGAATTCTAGGCTGGTAGGTTTTTTTCTCTCAGTCATCTTAAATGTTTCACTCGCATTTTTCTGAAGAGAAGTCGAATGTCGTTCTTAATATTCTCTGCTATAGGTAGGGTGTTACTTTCCTCACTGGCTTCTTTAAAGATTTTTTTCTATCTTTAATATTTCACATTCCTAAAGTGTGAATATGGTACGATATGATTCCTAAAGATATAGTTTCTGGCATTTATTCTGCTTGGTGTCTGAGCTTCTTGGATCTGTGATTTGGGGTCTGATACTAATTTTGGAAACCTGAGTCATCATAGTCTCAGGTGCTGCTTCTTCCCGCCCGCCCCCCCCCCCCCCCCCCCCCCCGCCCATATCCCCATTATGTGTATGCTGCACCTTTTGGCATCGTGGCACAGTTCTTGGATATTCTGGAGTGTGGCTTTTTTCCTCATTTTCTTTCTGTTTTTCAGCTTTGGTAGTTTCTGTTGCTGCATCCTAAATCTCAGAGATTCTTTCCTTAGCAGTGTCCATTGTTTTAATAAGCCCAGCAGAGGCATTCTTCATTTCTGTTAGTGTTTTTAATCTCTAGCCTTTCCTTTGGGATCTTTTTCAGAATTGACATCTGATTCATTACTTTATCCACCTTATTAGTTTATGGGCTACTTCTTCCTTTAAAGTTAATATATAAATTAATAGTTTTTTATTTTTGAAAAATTGTTGGTCTGACAATTCCAATACTCCTGCTATATCTGACTAGTTTTGATGCTTGTTCAGTGTCTTCAAACTGTGTGTTTTTGCATTTGAGAATGCAGTTATTTTTTGTTGTAAGGTGGATTTGATCTATTAAATAAAAAGAACAGCAGTAAATAGACCTTTAGTAAATAGTACTGATGTATGGGGGAAGGGAGAGCCTGCCATAGTCCTATGATAAGCTGTCAGTCTTTTATTTTTTGGCTGTGCTGAGTCTTCGTTGTTGCTCGGGCTTTTCTCTAGTTGTGGCAAGTGGGGGCTGCTCTCTAGTTGTGGTGCAAGGGCTTCTCATTGCAGTGGCTTCTCTTACTGCAGAGCACAAGTTCTAGGGTGTGTTGGAATTCCTGAGCTCTAGAGCACAGGTTCAGTAGTTGTGGCTCAAGCACTTGGTTGCTCCCTGTCATATGGGATCTTCCTGGATCAGGGATCTAACCCATGTCTCCTGCATTGGCAGCTGGATTTTTTTACCTGTAAGCCACCAGGGAAGCCCAGGTGTCAGTCTTTTAGTGAACCTTTGCCTCTGGCTTTCACACTCATTCATCTTGGTTTCTCCCTGCCTCCTCAGGTGAGACAGGATGACTAGAATGGGCTGGAGTAGGTTTTCTTCCCCCAAGTAGGTTAGGCTCTGTTAAAAGCCTAGCAAGTTTGAGTTCACTTCAGTTGCTTAGTTGTCTCCGACTCTATGACCCCCATGGACTGTAGCACACCAGCCTCCCCTGGCCATCATCAACTCCTGGAGCTTGCTCAGACTGATGTCCATTGGGTTGGTGATGCCATGCAGCCATCTCACCTGTTGTCATCCAGCAAGTTTGGCTCTCGTTAAAATAGTTTTTGTATAGATCAAAGCCTTGTTAAAAAAAAAAAAAGCTGTGTTAAGAAGGTCAGGATGGAGGTGGGAGGGAGGCTGAAGAAGGAGGGGATATATATTTAATAGATGATTGAGGTGGTTATACAGCAGAAATCACCACAACATTGTAAAGCAATTATCCTCCAGTGAAAGTTTTTTTTACAAGGTCAGAATACTCTGATGTATTTTTAAATGGTTCTTCAATTCCCAACCCTCAACACTGCTATATCCACTCCCCCTCCCCACCGAAGGACACAGGGAATTTTCTCCTACATTTGCTGTGGGGGCCTGTGAGAGCTTCTAGATGTGAAACTCAGCAGAGTGTGGTATATCCCTTATGACTGGGTCGCCCTAGAGTTTTAAGCATTCAGAGTTGTTTATACTGAGCCTCCAACAGTTGTCAAATCCAGTTCAGGTTTCTTCCTGGCATGGAGGTTTCTGCTTAAGAGTTTCTGCTCTGGTAAGTCTTGATGGTCTGTACCCACCTTTTTGTCTTTTTATACTTGTTAGGATGGACTGGTAATTTTTAAGTTCCATACATACCAAGCTGGAAACCAGAAGTCCCAAGTTAATTTTCACTATTTCTGTCACCTGGGATTTCTAGGTTCTGGATTTTGTTGTTGCTTACTTTGGAAAATTTTTCAGATGTTTTTGCCTTCTTAATTTGCTTGTTTTGCTTTGCTAAGGTGGCACAGGAATGGATCAACTCTCCAAACAAAGAGAAATTCCATCAGTTGCATTTACGAAAATTTCCTGGTGATTATAAAAAATACTGGGAGTTTGTGGGTAAGTTCTTTCTCAAGTAACTTGGGCTGTGTCATGTAATAATTGGAGAGATTTCTTTTGAGGGAACAGGATAATTGTTTGAATTTTATGGGATATAGGTTTCCTAAGTTGAATCTTATGTAGAATATGTTTAAAGTCTTACTTAATGAGGATAATTAGTAATGCATATATTACTGCTAGACTTGCTTCTCATCTGTGTGAGGTGTGGGGAGGAGGTGAGGGGGTAGGGTTATTTTGCCTATTTTGTGCCGTTTTTCATTTACTTACCTCAGCGAGTATTTATTGCCTGTGTACTGCCTGATGGTGTGTGATTCTAGATGCCAGATATGTAGCTTGGATGAAAACATAAAATTCTGCCTTCATGAAGCTTACATTTGACTTATTTTCACTTAATCTGTTGTAAATGTCTTTTCAGTATTTGTAATTTTTCTGTTGTTAGCATGTTCCATAGTTCTGTTTAACCAATTTCTAGTTAGATATGTATATTGTTTATGGTTTTTCACTATTAAACTGAATAAATCCTTTTGCCTGGATCACAGTGTATGCATTTTAAGACTTTTGATTCATATTGCCTCTGTCTACCAAAAAGAATTCCATTGTTACGTCTAACATAAGAACATCAGAATGTATCTCTCCTCATTTGCTAGTTTAAACTTTTCCCCAGTTTTACATGGGAACTGTATCTCATTTGAGGTTATACATTTTGTCCCCAAATCTTCAGTGGTCTTCTATATTCTTGGGGGTAGAAAAGGGGCACATACTTGTCTCTGCACACCATTTGTCATTTTTCTGTTAGGGAGTTTGTTTTCTTCTTATTCGTCTGCATTTGTTATAACTTTCATTATTTCATTATTTGCGTTTAGTTTCACATTTGGTTTTTGAGGCAGTTTTTATCCTCTTATGTTCATAAACTTTACTGTTCAAATTTTGGTTTTAGAAATTAAATAGTTTCATATTTTCTTGTAGTAGTTTTATATTTCTTTTTAATGTTTAAGTAACTGCTTTATCTGCCATTTATCTTGATTATATGATAGAATCACATAGTCTTTTCTCTTGTTTTCTGACTTCTTTCATTTAACATGTGTGTAATTCATCAGTTTTGTGTGTATCTTCAGTATTTGTTTTCATTGCTGTGGTATTTCAGTGTATAACTACATCACAGTTTTACCATTGATGGAGATTGTTATTTTATTTTTTGGTCAAGCCATGTGGCTTGTCCTAACCACTGGACCACCAGGGAACTTCTATTAATGGGCATTTTTTCCATCAGTTTTGGTCTGTGTATCAGGAGTCCACAAGTCCAACCCCAGGTTCAGAGATCACTAGAATGACTCACAGGAGTTATATTCATGCTCATGGCTGTGACTTCTTATTGTGAAAGGATTCAAAACAAAATCAGCAAGGGGACTAAGCACGTGGGTGAAGTCTAAAGCAGACCAGGAGCAACCTTTAAGAGTCCTTTCCCACTGGAGTCACACAAATAGGCACTTAATTGTCCCACTAGTGAGGTGTGATGATACATGGGACATATTACCTACCAGGGAAACTGAGGGACTCAGTGCCTGCAACACCCTCTGCCTATTCCAGATCCATAACTTTCCAGAAGCAAAGTGGATATTTGATATAAACCACAGAGAAAGAATTTGGCAAACAGGTTAGATGCAGTGCACCATTGATGCAGTGCAGTGAATGAGAACTGTCTAGAAATCCAAGTTCTCAGATGCCAATGGGGGGGCAACTTGTAAGCTTTCTAAGGACAGAAGCCTCAGGCCTACTATGTTAATAACTCTTTTACACATAGCATTTTATGAATAATGCCACTGTGGTCATTCATGTGTCTGTAGTGTCATGTGAAGGCATTTTTGTAGTCTTGTCTCCTGAAATGAATTGTATGAGTTCAACTGAAGTAGATAATCCCAAGCCAGTTTATACAGAAATTATGCACCCCCACCAGTGTATGGGAGTCACATTGTTCCATGTTTATACCAGCACATTTGTATCGATTGTGCTGTTAATTTAACCTGTTACCCTGTGCGTACTGATGGCCATTTGTGGTTTTATTTTGCTATCAATGAGCTTGAGCACCCTTTTCATATATTTAGTAGATGCTTAAGTAACCTCTTTGGGGAAGCCAAAAGACTTGTTCATTTTCTGTTGTCTTTTTCTTACTGATTTGTATTAAGTTCTTTGTATAATTTGGATATAAACCATTCTCCCACTTTGGCTTGCATTATGACACTCGTAAAAATAAACTCTTGTTTAGAGTTTATTTTTAACATAACAAGTGCATTTGTGTATTTTTTTATCTTAACATCTAGATCTGGTGCCAGCAAACAACAACTTGCACATCTACCCATATCCTGTTTTTATATTGCCCTAGACTAGTAAGGTTTTTATATATTTTTTAAAGGTTTTGAAAAAAAAGATGGTGATGATGAATATGCAGCAGACTCCATATGTGGCCTGCAAAGAAAAATCTGGCTCTTTACAGAGAGTTTACCAATCCCTTTTCTAGAGGCTTCACTGTTTTGTCAACCTGGAATTGATTTTGTGCATAAGTAAGATGTAGGGGCCATGTTTCATTTTTTTTCTCTAATGGAGATGTAATTATCCCACTACTGTTAATTGAAAAGACCATCCTTTCTTCATGGTCTGTAGTGCCATATATGCCATAAATCTAGTGGCTGTTTAATGCAGTGATGTTTTCTGGACGCCTTTCTCTATTGGATCATTTGCCTATCTCACTACCCATGTCACGTTGCTTGATTAGTTAAGCTTTAAGAATAAGTTTTAGTAAACAAGTCCTCTTAGCTTGTTTTGCCTTATGAGTACATTGGCTATTCTTGTCCCTTTGCATTCCTGTGTAAGTTTTAGAGGAAAAAAATGTTGGAAGTTTGTTGAGAATTGGCAGAGTTGGTACTAAACTTTTTAATTAGAGCTTGCTGTTTTCCCAGCCCCATTTATTTTACTGCTGTCCTTTCCCCTTGTTTGAAATTCCACTAGTAGACTCAAAATGCTTCTGTGTACTTGGATTTGTTTCCAGGTTTTCTCTGGGGATTTTGAAAGTAGGGCACAAAAATGAGAATTTTTTGATTAAAAACTAAGGTAAGTTTCAAGGAAAGGAAATTTATTAGCTCTTTTTGAATATTATGACTTCATCTGTTTTGGTGTTGTAGCAGTTTTTAAGAAAAACTTTACTTTGTGATCAATATTTGAAAATGCCCACTGGCTTAGACCATCCTTTTTGAAGTGTATACAAAGTCTACCAGCGTTCTCTGCTTGCTTGAACTCAGAGTACAAGGGTTTAATATCCCTTTATTTAGTTAATCTTATGTAAATTTATTCTGTTAGAATAAATGCTGACTTCTTACTCTTTTACAGTTTATCTTGAGGAATGTGAACTAGCTAAACAGCTTCATCCAAAGGAAAATGATTTGGTGTTTTTGGTTCCTGAAAACAATGAGGAGAAGAAAGATTTAGAGTGGAGTCATCTGGAGGATGCCTGTGAATATTATTGTGGCTATGTTCATAAATTCCGCCGTACTTCAGTCAGTGAGTACCTAGTGAGACTGTAGAGAAGTCTGTCAGAAACTTGTCTTCTCATTTCCTTCTAGATTAGGCTTTACCAGCCATGTATTTGCTGTACATTTAGCTGGTGTACATTTATCAGACTTGTGTTTATGAGGTTGATGATTTACCTTTCTGAGACCTCTTTTAGATTTTCTAGACTCAGGTGGAAAAGGCCCAGTATTTCTTGCTTTAGACTTCAGATTTAAAAGCTTTCTTTTGTAATGTCTTCCTCTCCTTCTAGTAAATTCTTCATCTGTCAGTGTTTGTTATAAAACAGACAATTTGCAAGCCATCTGTTTGTTAAATCACATTCCAGCTTTGGTTTTCTGGCTAATTATTAATGAGCAGACCAAAGATGTAACTAACTGTAAGGCACCTTGACAGCTTTACTGTTTCTATCACTCTCCTCCATTGTGTTGTAGGGGCTTCTCTCCCTAAGGGAGCATAACAGAAATAATGTTAGCTTGAATTTAAGGAGTACCAACTATGCCACACGGTGTGCCCTGTCCTCCTGTGCACATTTACTGTCTGTTCCCAGAGCCCTGCAAAGCAGAATTAGTTGTTCCCTGCTTATTGGGAAATTAGAGGTCGGGATGTGGAATAACTTATCCAAGGTCACCCTTAGAGTATTAAATGGTAGGTTCAGAATTGAAACCTAATTATTTGACTGCGAAGTCCACATTCTTTATATATGCCAAGCTGCCCTTTAGACATTGTTGCTTTTTTTAGTCTCTGTTATGTGAAGAGAATATGATTTCATTATTCGTTCACCTTTTTGTGTTACATCTTATAGACAGCAGCAAAGTTGTTGGAGTTCAGCAGTGTGTTGCGTTGTAACTGGTGTGCTGTGTTTCCTCCTGTGAGCACAGCTCAGCTCTTTGTGTAGGATGGTGTAGAAGAGGAGCTGTGGGGATACATAACTTTGTGCGTTTGACTCCCACAGGTGGCTGCATTTGCCAGAGTTCTGTTTCAAAGGTGGCCTCCTTCCCTGAGCTCTTCATGTATCTAATACTCTGCCATCTCCATTTGGAGATGATTAGATATTTAAAATCTACTCCAAAACACTTGATTTACTGTTGCTTCAGTTCTTCCCATCGCAGGATGCAGTACTTCCGTTCTCCCAGTTGCTCAGCCCCAGACCTCAGAGTCATGCTTGAGTCTTTCTCTCCCTCACAGGCTCCTTCTAATTCATCAGGAAGTCCTGTTACTGGCCCATCCTTTGCAGTGTATCCTCCATCCTGGCCCCTCCTCTGTCACTACATCCTGGCCCACAGGACCTTTCACTTTGACCTGGATTCACCTGGATTAAGTGGTCTTTTTGCTTTTCCCATTGTAGTTTATCCTTGATTCACCATAAGTGATTCTTTTAATGTGGGCGTTAGAGCAGGTCCCTTCCCTACACAGAGCTGTCCTGTAGCCCTTGACCTGACTTGGAGCCAGGTTCAGAGTCATTACTGCAGAGCCCTGTGAGGAGTAGCCGCCAGTACTTTCTCAGGCCCCGAGCTCCCTTCCTTCCAGCACACCAGCCTTCTCTCTGTTCCTCAATAATCCAGGCACCTTGCTGCCTTTGCGGTTGCTGATTCTCTGCCTGTAACGTAGTTTTCCAGTTATCAGCATGGCTTCATTGTATTAAGTCTCTGCCCGAATGTCATCTTATCAGGAAGGACTTCCCTGACTCTCTTGTCTGCATAACACTCCCTTACATCCCTCATCAATTCCTCATCTCCCTCCTCTGCATTCTTCATACTACTTACCATCACCTGGCATGTTTGATTACCTGCCTCCTCATAAAAAATAAGCCTCCCGAGGACTGGAATGTTGCCTGGTTTGTAGGAGCCATTCAGTAGATAAATAGTAATTTACCTTCACTGAGTAAATTATTTGAATGATGTGTAGAAAACATGTTACAAAACTCTTTGTTCTGAATAACCTTTTTAACTGGACACCTTGCGTTCACTGGTAACCAAAATTGCTTTTTCTCTGTCTTGGTAACAGTGCGTAATGGGAAGACTGAGTGTTCGGTTTCCATCCAGACTCAAGATAATTTACCAGTCAGTTTAAATGAACTCGTGAAATGCTTTGTAATCAGCTCTCTGGTGACTACACAAAGGAAGTTGAAAGCCATGTCTTTGCTGAGTGGTCGGAACCAACTGGCCAGAGCCATTCTGAATCCAAACCCCATGGACTTCTGTACAAAAGATTTACTAACTACAACATCTGAGAGAATTGTGAGTGATGACCATTTGATACAGGGAAAGTCAGAACATTTCATGTCACAGCGTTAAAGCATCATGTTCCTTTTGTCCACAGCAAAGACTTATTAGTCACAATGTATGCCTAGTGACATTTTTAGTGCCTAGTTTTCTTTAATGTTATCAAGTATGTCTTTGTGTTAGTCAGCTTACCTCAGGAAGAAGGTAGAGTGCAATAAATTGAAAATATGCTTGAAGAACAACATTAAAATGTTAGAGTGAACATCCTACTTAATTAACTTTTTAGGTGGTTAAAATGCAGGAGTAGTAGGAATAGGTTTAATGGAATGAATTTTGCATTTGAATGACCAGTGGAGCTTTGGTATTGTTGCCAGTATGAAGATGAAGTTGTTGTATTGTGTGAACGCATATTTCTCATTATAAAATTGTGTATAAGTTCCAGGAAGTTAACACAGAGGCAGGTGAAGAGAAAGAAATGTTATTTGAACCCCTTCCTTGTGTTCGGGCTTCCATGTATGTTTTCTCAGTCATTTCTCACCTTCTGAGGGATCCTAGATTCATATAAAAATGGGTGGACGCTGAAGTCCAGAGAGGTGAGTTTGGAGACACAGCTTGAGAGTGAAACTGAGGGGTAGATTCGGAGCTGAACCAGGATCCATGCTCTTTCCCCTCTGTCACTTGTGTTACACAGATTTTTCCACTGTCTTGCTTTCCTGGGCCTCCTCAGGAAGAAAAAGTCATTCTCACTAAAATGTCTTTCATATAGGTTGCTTACTTAAAAGATTTCAATGAAGACCAGAAGAAAGCGATAGAAACTGCATATGCCATGGTGAAACACTCCTCATCAGTTGCCAAGATCTGTCTGATTCATGGACCACCTGGAACAGGAAAATCAAAAACCATTGTTGGCATCCTGTACCGCCTGCTGACAGAGGTAAAGTGTTTGTGAGGGCAGCAGCGTTCTTAATTGAATATATCACTAGATTTAACTAATGTGTGAATAAGTACTAAAGTGCCTTTTTTCCCTTCACTTTTATGTATCTTTTGATACTGTGTGGAACCATATCAGATAAAGGGGTAGCAGAGATGGAGAAGGTTATAAGAAATAAAAAGAAAACAGAAAATACTATCTTGTGTGCAGTTACTCCTGAGGGCTAGCATGGTGGTCTTCTGGCTTTGTTAGTGGCCACAGCCGATACCAGGAGACCATCCTGGACATTTCTATCCCTGGGCTGCATTTTGGTTGGATTGAGTACTGAATAAAATAAGTGGATAATAAGGTAAGGCTCAGAAAAGTTAATAAAGTTTTATGCCAGAGTATTTTTTTTTAAACTTTTTATTTTGTATTGGGGTGGAGCTGTTCCACAGTAATTTTTTAGTTATCAGTGTAAGATGCAGGTACTTTTTATTTTTATTATAGGAACTTTTGAATATATGTGAAAGTAGGAAAGAACTATAACATTGTGTAATAGAACTCATCAGGATTTTTTGTTTGATTCAAATTGCAGAACCAAAGGAGGGGGCATTCAGATGAAAACTCCAATGCCAAAATCAAGCAAAACCGTGTCCTCGTATGTGCACCTTCCAATGCAGCTGTTGATGAACTTATGAAAAAAATTATCCTTGAATTCAAAGAAAAGTGTAAAGACAGGAAGAATCCTATGGGTATGATACTTATGTGGGCTTTTAATTTGTTTTGTTTTCAATGTTTAGTGTGGGGAGCTTTGAATGACAAAAAGTAAGCCAGTTCTGGCTGATTTGCATCTCCCGAATTTGATTCCTACGGCCTTCCAGGACAGTGCTGCTCTCACAGTGTGGCTTGTGGCCAGTCAGTGGATTGTGAGGTCAATTTAGGGAGGTCAGAGCCAGCACACTTAAATAAAATAGAACAGAACAGAAGGAAACAGAAAAGATTAGAGCATAGGTAGTGAGGGGGCCTAAGTAGTGTTTTGTGAAACCTATTTTACTGGTGAAATGTGAGTGGACTGCTTTCAGTACAGTGTGACGTGTACCTCATAAAAGCACTGGTCTAGCATGTATACATCTAGAAGTGAAAATGCTGGGTTGAAGGACTTGTGCATCTTCTAGATAGTGCAGATTCTTCTAGAAAGTGGTTGTGTCAGATCCTACACTGAGAACAGTTCCCAAACAGTGGGCAGGGGTGCTATTTTCACTTTGCTTTTCCTGAGAAAGGGTAATAAGCACTTTTTCAGGTGTCTGTTGACAACATAACAAGGTTGGATGAAGGTGGGACACATGCCGGGTCTAGGTTGGATTTTTAACTTTCTTTGCTAGAAAATGACATTTCTGTCAGCAAAGAGAGCTTTTTTCCTTCTTTTTCAGTACTTTTTTTTTTTTTTCCATTGCATGTGATACATATGTTGGATTTGGTATATACCCTTTATTGGGTTAAAGAAATTCCTTTTTCATTAGCTTTTTTATGAATGGGTGCTGAATTTTATACAGACATTTATTTGCAATGTTTTGTGTAAGAGATTATCTGTTCCTTGAAAGTTAATCTGTTTTTAGTATTGTTTTGGTGTTTGTTCTCTTTTTTTCTTTTTGGTCTGTTTTTTGACAGATGGATAAGTTTCTGTCTGCTGAATGTCTTTAATTGTTGATTTATTCAAGTTTTCTGCATTTGAGTGAGTTTTGTTAATTTTTAAATCCTTGCATTTTGTTGTATGTGAAAGAACCCAACACCTCCACACCTGGACAGTGACCGGCTCTCACCCTTCTCCCTCCAGGGAAGCCACAGCATCTCAGGGGCTTTCATATCTGGTTTTCACCTTTCTCTGTTTTTCGCCCCTAGGAATTTCTTTTACATCCTTCTGAGCTCACCCTGCAATTTAAGGGATGCCTGTTTTAATTTCTGGAGCATTTTGAGGTGCTTAGAGTGGGTATAAATCTCATCACCTTTCTGGCAGATATACAACTTAGCAGTTTTGAAACTTTCAAGTAAATGTTGGCCAGAGAAGATGGCTTCATATTTAGAAGGAGCTGAACTAGGAATACAGATAGATGTAGACAACTGTATAATTGTTAATTTATTCATTCAGCACGTATATTGTACGTACTGTGTGCCAACTGCTGTTCCAGGCAGTGACCAAAACAAAACCTGATTCTATGAGACTTGGGATTCAGTGGAAGGAGACAGCAAACAAGTACATGACATGTTAGGTTGGGATAGGTGCTAATAAACACTGCTTGGTTGATGTTATTTAGTTCAGTGAAGCAGTGGGAGATTTTTAGACTAAATAATACCTGAGTGTGCTAACCTAGATTTAAAAACGTAGTTATTTAGTAAACCAGTTTAAAGGATGCTGACAGGTTTTGAAATTACCAGGATTTCCAGCATTTTCTGTCCCTTAGATCCTGAGGTGGCCTTGTGACGTGGAGCAGTTTCAAAACCTTGGTTCTGAGTATTCTACAGAAAAGGATTTGATTGGTGGTCCCATAAAATTTCATTTGGGGAATTCAGACATGTATTAAAAGATAAACATCTTCATCTTTGAGATATCCTGTGGTTAAGAAATCTGTTTTATTTTTAACTCACCATTTTCCAAATGAATTTTACCATGGATTGTTGAATAGAACATAGTTTGAGGAGCATTAGTATAACAGAATCTCATCTCTGCTGTGTACTATTTGTGCAACCCCAGTAGCTTTTATTAGGTGGAAATAAGTCCTTACCTTTTAGGGGTTTTTATGAAGCTTATCTAAAAGGATGTATGTGGAACTTCCAGCACAGTTCCAGATGTCTGGTTGATTAATAGTTCATGTTAGCTCCCTTCTCTGATTGTTAATATTTTTCTAAAAAACAGTTATTATGTACAGAGATTGACAGTGTTCTTACTAATCTCTGTGTGACATTTATCAACAGGAAACTGTGGAGATATAAACTTAGTACGTCTAGGTCCAGAAAAGTCTATTAATAATGAGGTCCTAAGATTCAGTTTGGACAGTCAAGTTAACCACAGAATGAGTAAGTATGGAATAAAGGTATAACTAATTTATTTCTTTTTCTTGTTGTATAGTTGGCTGGGGCATTAAGGTAATTTGGAGACCCTAGAAATAGTCTGGTTTTGAAAGCTAGTTTTCCTTCTCGTTGTGTGTGCGCATGTGTATACTTGTTAGAATGAGCAATTCTTTGTCTTTTTATTTTTTTTAAAGAAAAAGACTTACCGTCTCATGTTCAGGAGATGCACAAAAGAAAGGAATTTCTCGATCGTCAACTTGATGAACTTTCCCGCCAGCGTGCTTTATGCCGAGGTGGAAGGGAATCGCAGGTATCTAGACATGTCTTGATCAGTGTTTATAACAGCTCATAGATAAACTAGTTGAGTATTTGATGCTAGTCTTTTGTTGTGAAGTAGTATGTAATTTGTGTAAAAGATGTATACAAAAATGGTATCTTTACATTAGGAGTTAAACTTTTTTTTAAAGGACCAGATAGTAAATATTTTAGACTTTACAGGCCTATGTGGAGTCTCTTTTAGCCACTCAGCTCCACTGTTGTAGCCTGAAGACAGCAGCAGTTGGTAACATGTAAATGATGTGCCAAGGGTTGGCCTGATAGGCAGACAGGAAGAGCCAACCTACAATACCTTGGACAGATTTTCATCTTAAATACAGTATGAAGAATTTATCAGACTTCCCTGGCGATCCAGTGGTTAAGAATCTGAGCTTTCCTTTCCAAGGGGTGCAGGTTCAATCCCTGGCTGAGGAACTGAGATCCCACATGCTTCACTGTGTGGTCAAAAAAAAAAAAAAAGAAAGAATTTATCTAATGAACACGTACTAAATGGACCACTTAGTGCTAGTTGTTGGGTTGTGGATAATGAGCTGATGTTTAAAAACAGACCACAGGAGAAGTTGAAATAGAGAAATTGATTACTCAGAGGTCCTGGAGGAGGTGCATAGCTTACCTTGAGGGGTCACACAGGAGGTCCATGCAGAGTAGAGACAGAAGCAGGCCCTGGGCCACCTGTCGTTGTCAGGGTCCATGGTTGGTGTGTTTTGACATTTCCAGACTAGGGCTGGATTGGGCAGTTTGAATGGAAGGAGCAGGGTTTTAGTAGTTTCATAGAGAGTCTTATCTCACGGGAACATATAAGGCATACAGGTGCTGGAAGGCCATGGAAACCATTGATCACAAGAGCAAACATTTGCTGGTGACTCTGGGTGCTATATAAGACATTTGCAAGAGTGAGGGGCTAGTGTCAGTTTGAAGTCACAGCAGGCACCTGGCCAAACACAATGAATGTCAGGGCAGCAGTGCCCTGGAGTAGCTTAGCTGAGCTCTGAAAAACAGTAGTATAGAGAGACTGGTAGGGGAAACACACTGGGTGAATCAGTTTTTCATTGGTAAAGTACTGGCTCTCCTTTTTGAAATGTGAGGCAGTTCATTGGAAAGCATTTAAAAAGTCTTAGTTGGATGATAGCAGTCTTACTTTTTTCCAGAGGCAAGAATTAGATGGAAAAATTGCCAGAGTTTCAAAAGAAAGGCAGGAGCTTGCTTCTAAAATTAAAGAGGTAAGTAGTTCATCTGTAACATTTTCCTGGCACTTCTTTTTTAAAATTAGGAAATGGTTCAGACAGCCTATGGTCTTTTCTTAGTTACATTTGAGAATTCTTGTCGGTCCAGTGGTTAGGACTCTGCAGTTCCATTGCAGAGGATATGAATCCGTTCCCTTTTTCAGGGAACTCAATCCCTCAAGCTGCATGTGTGGTCAAAAATGTAGATAAATAAAATTAAAATTTTTTAATAATGAAAAATTTCAACCATATATAAAAATAGAGAAAATGGTGTAATTGCTTGTACATTTATAGTTTTTTCTAAACCTCTCAAGTGTTCTACTCTTCCACCCAGAAACTAATGGTAATTGTCATATGAATAATTAATGTAACTAAATTTGTAGGGTTTTCCTTTATTAAAAGTAAAGAAAATTACATGTCTGAATTCAGGTAGACTAACAGTGGCTGGGATGTGGCACAAGAAAAGTGCCTTTTTCCCCTCAATTTTTAGCTGAAAGCATAAGCTCTTTTTACTTGTTTTTGATTACAAAAACCCTTTTATAGCATGTATAACTTTCCCCCCAGTATTCTTTGGGTATAAAAATATCAACTCAAATTTAGATGAGTCGAAGCTAGAATGAGCCAGCCTAATGAAATGAACTGGGGGTAAGGGAGAGAGGGTACTAGCAACCGGTAATGGCATTTGTATTTTTGAGCTGAGATTTTTCTCTTGAATATATTATTGACTTCTGTGTGGCTAAATGAATATAGTTGAATTTAATGCATATTTCCACTAGCAGTTTGTTTCAATTAAAAATTATGTGGAAAGCTATTAAAGTTTAAACTAAGCCCAAAATTAATCTTCCCATATTTCAGGATGAAGTCTTTGTTTACTGGTGTTATGGTTTTTGCCACTGATCACATTGTTCTGTGGGTGGTTAAATTAATTGCACTTGTGGTTTTACCATGATGCTGGCTGTAAGGAGAGGGATATGGCAGTTACCAAATGAGCACTGGAAGGAAGGCCATAGCTGTCGTTACCTTCTCTAAGACCTGCGTCAGCGAGTCCAGGCATGAGTCTGTCATATGCTCAGCTCCAGCTTTTCAGGAGCAGAAATGGGCTAACTGAATCTTTGATGAGACTCAGTCCCCATCTCAGTTTATTCCATTATGTAGACATGGACCAAGGTGGTCGTTACTGCTGTGGAAGTAGAATGCTCATCAGTTTCACAGGTGTTTTTGTTGGTACTGGCCCTTAGAAAGAATAAGGTTACTTATTCTTAAAACTAACAGAAAAGGGTATGTTCAGGATTAGTTTTGTTCCTGGTTTTACTCAGATAATTGCTTCACAGTTCAGTAGAATTATTTAATCTTTGCTTATTCTGATACCTTCCCACATGTCAGGCTGTAAGAATTGTAAATCTACTTTGACCAAATTAAACCCTGAATAAATTTTTCTTAACGTGCTGAAATCATGTTCCAAGATGAGATTCCCCTGCAGAGTGTTCTCTCTGGTGGCTTCTGAGTACCTTGAGTGTTGCTGCTGTTTTCTAGATTGCAGGTTCCCACCTGACATTTACTGAACATTATTCTGTCACATAAGTGGCAGATGTATTACAAAGTACAAAGAGGCCTATCGTAGTCAAGAATTGTTTAGATACGAGTGAGCACTGATGAAGTTCTATTGTCTCAGGTTCAAGGACGCCCACAGAAGACCCAGAGCATCATCATCCTGGAATCGCACGTCATCTGCTGCACGCTGAGCACCAGCGGCGGCTTGCTGCTTGAGGCGGCCTTCCGCGGGCAGGGGGGCGTCCCCTTCAGCTGCGTTATCGTCGATGAGGTCAGTGAGCAGCTGGCCACACAGCTCTTGCCTAGTGCTGTGAGGAGGAAGTCCTTGGTGAAGCGTGGCTGCCAACATGTTGACATTGTGATCTTTTTGCATCTGATTTTGACCTGCTCTTACGTGTGTATTCCTGTATGTTGAAATATGCTGCTCATGACCCACCATGATGAAAACTGCTTTTCTAGTATTGGAATTATAGTCTTAGGGATCCTGATCTTAACAAAATCATCCCAAGGATTGTCTAGCTCCTGCTTAGAATATCTCTGGTTACCTTTTGAAGCATTTTTAATACAATCCAATAGCTCTGAGTGCCATATTTTCAGCTTATCCTCCTAATTCCTAGTTCATTCATTGAGCAAGTATTTATTGGTTTACCTACTATTTGCCAGAATATAGAGCCAGAAGACAAAAAGAGATGGAAAATGAAGGATAGAGAACCCGTCCAGGAGATCCAAGATGCAGTATTCACCAAAATGAAGGAATAGAAAAGATGATGAAATAATTGAAGGAAATGTTGCCAAATTGAAGTGAAGCTTGAGGGTTGCAAATGTGAAGTGGCCTACTGAGGAGGAGAGCAGGTGGGTGGGTGGGAGTGTGACACCCAGAAACACAACCCTGACAGGCACATGTCCAGCGGGAACAGACAGACAGACAGACAGACCTGGGACAGGACTTGGCCCTTGTAGTTTATGGCTGTTTCCCAAGTGGTAGTGGCACCTGAAAGATCGCGGACTTCCAAAATGTATGTGTGTTGGGGCGGGGGAGTTGTTTTGGGTTTTTTTCCCCCTCCAAGTGTTTAGAATGTTTTTATTGTTTTTTAACCAAAGAAAATCTTTATTTTTGATATTTGGTGCAGAAGGAGAAGGTGTACGTTTCTGAATGGCTAACACTTTCATTATGAATTAGACTGTATGTGGATAAAAAGTAACAGAGATAACTATGACTGTGTCTCCATTCTATACTTTCTTGCCAAGGCTGGACAGTCCTGTGAAGTTGAAACACTTACTCCTCTGATCCATCGTTGCAACAAGCTTGTCCTGGTAGGAGACCCTAAGCAGCTCCCTCCCACAGTCATTTCCGTGGTATGTTTTTGCACATTCATGAATGTTGCTTTAAAGTGGAAGGGGTCTTTTGGTTTTTTGTTTTGGGGGATGGGCATCCTTCTTGGATCGTCATCTCTTACTTGCAGGGAGAAATAGGGAGTGGCTGAAGAAAGAGAAGAGCCACTGTTTAGAGCCTTCATAGTAAAGTCTCCAAAAATATTCTTTGTTCATAATGAGCTTGTGTGCGTGTGACAGGAGCATGTGGGTGTCAAAAGACCAGAAGTTGAGGCGCAGGGTGACCCTTGCGCAATGGCTGTCCCTCTGAGAAAGGCAGTGTGCTGCTCTTCTGAGGGCTGATTTGTTTTCATGACACAGCCTCCAAACCCATGATAAAAGAAAAACTCTAAAAGCAAGGGAAAGAATCCTGACCTCCTAATTTATGTTTATGTATATACAAATTTTGAGGAAAACAGTAAGAAAATAAATTATTCTTACAGTAATGTGTACAGTATTAGGATTCTGTATTCTATGACGTTCCTCACATGCTCTGAAAGGGAAGGTGGAAGGAAGGAGACTGGGCTCTGCTTGCGGGAAGATGAGCAGCACAGCTGTGTCCCCTTCCCTGTTGTGTGAACACTCACTAGAACTGCTCACAGTCAGGATCCAGACTGTGCCATGCACTTCCAGGAGCAGGATGTTTGGGGTAATCTTGCACAGGCCTCTACCTAGGTTTTGAAACTTAATAACATTTGAGCATTTCACTGATACAGAGAGTATGTGTGCAGAGTAGTGGCTGCATGAACAGTCCCAGAGAACAGACCATTTTCACAGCATTTCTGTTCAGTTATGGAATGAAAGTGTGTTGCTGTTTTTTGACTTTGGAATCATCAACATGATCGGGCAGTTCTTTGATGTCTGAGCACTGCCGCGTGACCATGTGAGGGGGTAGGCTAGGAGCACCCCTGACCTGGAGTGAAAACCTTGTCCACGGGGAAGAGCTGCTGCACCGGGGTTCATGGGGAGCTAGGAGGAGCCAGCTCTGCACCGCGTTACGTGAATAATACAGCATTTCAGAAATTGACTGACCACTCGAAGGGCCTTAGCATGTAGTTAGCAAAAGGGGGTTGTTGGTAGGCCTCAGCTTTACTGCCTGCTTTGGTAATTGATTAAGAACAGCAGAAATGAGAAGAATCTATTGGGGCTTTTCTTACTGTTGTAAAAATAATACAGGCTTATTGAGAAATTTTCAGAAAGTGATTACAAAGTTAATTTTCTCAACATGCCTTTCTGACCACCTATTCCTAGGAATAATTACTATGAATAGTGTAGTGGGTAATTTGGACAGTTTGTGCTCATGGGTGTGCAGAGTTGCCTTTTTTCCAGTCTGTGTTTATTGAGTGCTAGCCTAATTCAGGCACCGTTTTAAGTTCCAGGGTTATGACAGTGTTGAAAACTAACAAAAATCTCTGCCCTTACAAAGCTGACATTCTAGTGGGTAACAGACAGTAAGTTACTAAATTCAGAAGGTTGGGTAGTTACAGGGAATGTACGCATTTGTGTGTGCCGACTTTGACCTTGTTTAATGATGGCAGAATCGGTCTGTGTCACACTGCCTTTTTTCCAGTCAATAAATAGATCAGGAATGTACATTCATGTCAAAACATGAAAATCTCTGTCATTTGGTAGAATGGACTCAGTTTTTTTGTGTGTGTAAGTAAATGTGTTACCTCCTATAAATCCCATTTTCTTTTTTCCCAGAGTGAAGTAAGTGAGTTTTTTTTGCTAACTTGAATAGATAAACTTTTGAGGTATAGATGATGATGCCAAGTGTCCACTAAGGATATTTTATTCTATTTAATTACACAAACCTATTTAAAATTGCATAGGTATATAATCACTTGCATAAATAATACAAATAGGAAGTAATGTCTGCTTTCTCCACTCTGATAGTTTGTGAAACAGGTTTATTAAAACTTTGCATATACATCTTCAGTGCTCATATCTGCAATATACTCAGAAAGATTACACTATTCTTTCTAAATTTTGACATGGTACTAACATTGAAAAGTATATCCCAAGTATATCACAACTGTGATTACATGAAGACACTTTCCTTCATTTGTCAATTAACTCTGTTTCATGTTGCAGGTTTGTTGTAACCCTTTGTAGGATTTACGAAATCAACTTAGTTGTCTGTCTCCTCCATTAGAATGTTAAGTTCTATGACGCTTGATCTTATTCACCTTAGACCCCCAGCACCCCAAGCTTTAGACGCTTAGTGCATGTTGCCTGGATGGATGGATGAAGAAATTGGTCTTTAAGAGGCTGGTTTACAGTGACACTCATTTTTTCAAGCTGTGGGAGCGCAGCCCAGAAATAATGGTTAAAATCTGTGTTAAAATTCTTTGCTGCTTTTCTCATCAGTTCTTTTCAGGTGACCTCTGTTAGCACCAAAATAGCGATGGTTGTGATCATTCACAAGATCACATCATTCATCAACAGTATGTGGGATTTCTGAATAAGGAGAATATGCCTCAGCTTTTGTAGTCATGCTCTGTGGCTTTTCAAAGGTGGAAGTCAGAAACACCTTCTTTCTCTGAATCTTTGGTTATTGGTAATGCTGTGTGCGTTTTAGATGTACGTTTGCTATGTACATTGTAGAGCTCAGTAATTATTTTTATAATAATGGAAAAAGTACAGATGAATCATTAGAGATTATTGCTTTGTCTTCCCCCTTTCAGAAGGCACAGGACTATGGCTATGACCAGTCGATGATGGCCCGCTTCCACAAGCTCCTAGAGGAGAGTGTGGAGCACAACATGATTGGCAGGCTGCCCGTCTTACAGCTCACCATCCAGTACAGGATGCATCCAGACATATGTCTCTTCCCTTCTAGTTACATTTATGACGGAACCTTGAAAACAAATAGGTGGGTTCTTTTCATTGCATGTTAGCTTGTTTTATTTGTAGGTTTGGCTATTTAGGAAGAATAGCTGTTTCACGGTGCTCTTAAGTCTTGTTATTAAAAACATAAAGGCCTAATAAATTATAAAAGTCATGTTGATTGTAGCAAATGCAGATAAATGAAAAGGGGGGAAAAAACACCAACCTCCCTATTTATACTACTCAGAAATAATCACTAGTAACCTTTTAGTATATCTACTTCTAGTCCTTGTACTATGCACATTTTTTTTTTTTCCTCTTTTTGGGAAACAAAAATCATACCATGCTTTACCTAGTATTTTATACCTTGCTTTTTTCATGTACTGTATTATGAGTAATTTTCCAATCATAATTGTTCTGTTTTAAATACAATAGATTATTCTCCCTAGCACTAGAATAGAAATAAAATTCACTTTCTACCTTTCACTAAAATACATTATTTCAATTTACTGAAATTTTAATTTTTTAAAGAAGAGTCCTTCTTGTCCCCTTACTTTCCCTAGCTCTCTCCTGCTACATACACAGAGAAAAATGGTAGTAACAGTTTTAAAAAATGTTTCTAACTTGACTTGTGTTCTAAATGGTGCTGCTCTTTTTTATAGAGGGACAGAGACTAGTCGGTGCTCGTCTGACTGGCCATTTCAACCCTACCTCGTGTTTGATGTTGGAGATGGCTCGGAAAGACGGGATAATGAGTATGTTCTTTATTTCAGTCCTCACTGATGGTGTCAGAATTTTAATATTGTTTTTGTTTATATTTAGGTTCAAAATACTTTTCATACAAATCTCTCTGCCTAGTGCCAGGGCACAATCATTTTCTTTTAGTTGGATTGATAAATTCATCTTTTTAATCATAAAAAAATACTGATATCTTTATGTATTTCAGTCTTTCAGTTTTTCTTTCTTAATTGTATTAGTGGGGATTTTATTACCTAACATGTGATTAACACTTAAGTAGATCCATGCTGAACTTCTGAGTAAGATAGACGTGGCCCCAGTGCAAGGCTATTGTGGTCTAACGCGAGGCAGACATTAACCAGGCCATTACTGTGGTGATTGATTATTCCAGTTGGGTTAAATATTGTGAAGGAGAAATACAGACACAGTTGAATTAAGGTGTGAGGCAGAGGGTGGACAATACTCTGATCATATTGGATTGTGTGAATCGGGTGGTCTGTGAATGCTCGTGCATGGTACATGTGGCCTGGTGGGGAATGAGAAAAGGGATATGTCTGAAGCAGTTTTCTCAGTGTTGGGAAGATAATAAATCTGCAGTAGGGGCTCTTGATTAGTCATGTCTTCATTATTATGAATACCTTTGTCCTCACTGTGGCTGCCCCTGCTGTAGCAAACGGGAAGCTGGCGTCCAAACTTCTTAGACTCCAGGCTCTCTTCTGTCATTCAGCTTCACGTCCCGCTGGGCAGTTGTTACTCTCTTTATTCATATGCAGTGTTAAATGGTCATTATAACAGCCCCTTTGAATCACTGCCGACTGAATAAAGATAAAGCCTACTCACCTACCCTTTACTGTAATAGAAAACAAAGTGGAGCTTAACAGTTGGACTGCTACTAGTTTTGATGTGTTGTATTTTTTTTCATCTTATTTAGCTCATATGTAAATGTTCAAGAGATAAAACTGGTAATGGAACTAATTAAACTTATTAAAGACAAAAGAAGGGACATTAATTTCCGAAACATTGGCATAATAACCCATTACAAGGCTCAGAAGACGATGATTCAGAAGGATTTGGACAAAGAGTTTGATAGAAAAGGGTGAGGCATCTCTATTTTTACGGCTATTTCCAGTTTTTCTGTTTCATTAAAAAGAAAGAGGGGATGGAAGGAAAGAAGAAAATGAAACGTAACCCGTGGCGTATGGTCATAGACCCTGGTAACGCAGAACAAGGAGACCAGGACGCTGGCTCCATAGACTTGTGCTGAGAAGGGAGTGTGGTTACGCTTGTAGCACCTGTAGACGTAGTGCCTGCTGCCATTTTGAAGGTCTTCATCGTTATACTTGGCAGTGAAATTGACTGAGAAACTCTCCAGGTCTTTCCATTTCATTGGATGACTTGTTAATCTAAATTCTAATTGTACCGAGATACACATAGTCACATTTTCACTTAGAAAAAATTATTTAAACCTTTTAGTGCCTTCACTAAAGATCATGAAGATATCATGTCTTTGTCTCCTTTTACCTCAACAGTAAAATTAAAAATTAAATATTGGAAATCCAATAACTCCACAGTTTCTGCACCTTGAAATACACAAACTACCAAAATTGAATCTAGGAAAAAACCAGAAACGTTGGACAGATCTATTAAGTGTAAACAGATTGAGTTAGTAATCAAACACTTACCAACAGAGAACAAACCCAGGACCAGGCTTCACTGGTGAATTCTATCAAACGTTAAGAATTAACACCAGTCTTTTTGCAAATACTTCCAAAAAATAGAAGGGAAGACTACTCATTTTATGGGGCCACTATTACCTTGATACCAGAGCCATGGAGACATCACCAGAAAAACTACAGACCAATATATTCTTTATGAGTGTGGGTGCAAAAATTCTCAACAAAGTAATGGCAGCTGAACTCAGTAGCATATTAAGAGGATTATAGACCAAGATCAAGTGGAATTTATCTCAGAAATGCAAGGTTGGTTCAACAGTCAGTGTTCTGTACCATATTAAAGGGAAATCTCACATGGTTGTGATCTTCTGAATAAATGTGGAGAAAGCATTTGAGTGCAACAACAACCTTTCATGATAAAAATACTCAAGAAATCTAGGAATAGAAGGGAACTTCCTCAGGCTAATAAAAGGCATCTATGAAAAACCCATAGTTCGAAAACCATACTTGATGGTAAGATGAAAACTTTCCCTATATGATCAGGAAGGATAGGGTGTCTGCTCTCACTGCTATTGTGCAGCATTGTATTAGAAATTCTGTGCAGAGCAGTTAAGTAAGAAAAGGAAATGCAATATTTGTGCAAACTGCTAGTCTTTATAAACAAGTTCAGCAGAGTTGTAGGATACAAGATCAGTATGCAGAAATCAGTTGTATTCTCCAGCCACAAGAAATCTGAAAATTTTTTTAAAAAAATTCCATTTACAGTAGCATCATAAAGAACAAAATACTTAGCAATAAATATAACCAAAGAAATAAAAGCTCCTACACTGAGAAGTACAAAATGTTGTTGAAAGAAGTTGAAGAACTCCAAAATAAGTGGAGACAGTCCATGTTCATGGATTGGAAGACTTACTAAGATGGCACCTTTCCCCATGCTAATCTACAGATTCGTTATCTCCGTCAAAATTAAAACTACGGTTTTGGAAAAGCTTATTGTAAAGTTCATGTGGAAGTGTAAGATACTCTCCAAACAACTTGACAGAACAGTGTTGGGGAGCTCACACTGTTTCAGAATTTACTACAAAACTATCAACATTGTGGTAATGTCATCAGGGTAGACACATAGACTAATAGAAGTGAGATTCCAGAGATAAATCCATATGTTTGTGGCTAGTTGATTTTCAAGAAGGGTACCAAGACCATTCAGTGGGGAAAGAGTAGTTTTTTCAACAAATGGTGCTGGAATAAGTATTGGTATCCTCCTACAAAAGAGTGAATTTTGACCCCTGTCACACTGAATACAGTAATTAACTCAAATTAGAGCCCTGAGTCTTCAGAGACAAAATTATAAAATGTATAAGGAAACAAAAGTGTAAATTCATATGATCTCAGATTAGGCAACAGTCTTAGGTGTGATATCCAAGCACAGGTAACCAGAGGAAAATTAAATTGGTCTTCATAAAAATGAAAAGCTTTTGTTTCAGATGACACTATCAAAGAGTGAAAAGACAACCCACAGAATGGGAGAAAGTACTTGCAAATTATTTATCTGATGAGTTATATCCAGAATATAAAGAACTCATACAACTTGGTAATAAAATGACAGTCTTATTTATTAAATAGGCAAAGGATTTTTCAAAAGAGAAAAATCCAGCAGGCACACTAAAAGGTATTCCACATTATTTATCATTAGGGAAATGCAAATCAGAACTACAATTAGATAACCATTTCATACCCACCACGATGACTATCATTAAAAAACAGGCATTAACAAGTTTTGGCAAGGATGTGGAGAAATTGAAACAATACATTGCTGGTGAGAAGATAGAATGGTAAATCATTGTGGAAAACAGTTTGGCAGTTCCTCATAAAACGTAGAAGTACCACATGACCAGCAATTTCATTCCTAGATCCATACCTGCGTTGGGAAAATATTCACAGGAAACCTTGTACAGGGGAATGTTCATAGCAACATTATTCATGAAAGTCAGAAAGCAGAAACAACTCAAACTTCCAAAAATTGTATATGGGTAAATTGTGTATTTGTACAAGCAAATGCTCATAGAAGGAATGAAGTAGTGGTATATTTTGTGACATACGTGAACCTTGGAAAATACCGTGCTAAGTGAAAGAAACCTGACACAGAAGGTCACATAGTCTATAACTTCATTTACATGCTAGCTGTGTCCCGTGTAGAAAAGTCCATAAAGACGGAACACAGATTAGTGGTTGCCGGGGCCTGGTGGGAAGGGAATTAGAGACTGATGGCTAATGGGCACAGGGCTTCTCTACTGGGAATAGACATACTTTAATAACTATGCTTTTCAGTAAATATGTTTTCTCTCTCATTAATAGGGCAGCAGAAGTAGATACCGTGGATGCCTTCCAGGGTCGTCAGAAAGACTGTGTTATTGTTACGTGCGTCAGAGCAAGTGCCACACAAGGCTCAATTGGGTGGGTGACTGTCATCCTTGATTTCTTGCTCTGTTTATAATCCAGAAGTAGATCTATTTTTAATCACTGTTAGAGAGTACCGTCATTTGCTCAATTATATAAAAATTACATAATGTCATGAAGGTTTTTTTTTTAAGTTGTGTAGTTGATCCACTGTTAGGTCTGCTTTTCTTAGTTCCTTGTGTATTAACCCATGTCACCTAGTGAATCTGTTTTTTCACTTGATAAGAGTGAAGTAGATGATTGAATCCAATATGTTTTGCAGGGGCATGTTCCTCTCCACAGTATGTGTCATAATTGATCTACTGTCATATTTTTGGATGTTTTAAGACTTAAAAATCACAGCATTAAAATTTCTAATATCTAAGTCACGATAGGAAATAAGTACATCACTTTGAAGGAAAGCTCCAGACATCGTTTGTATGTTGTTTTTGATGAGAATTGCCCTATGCCAGGTCCCCTGTGTTGGGAGAAGGGGTGCAAAAGCATTGTGATTTTAAAGCAGAAGGAGCCAAGAAAAGCTGTCTGAAATATCGCGTGTGTCTCACGTACACTGATACACTGCCGAGTCATTCTGTACAAAGAAGTAATTTTTTTTTTTTTCTTCTGTTGCTTAGATTTCTGGCAAGTTTGCAGAGATTGAATGTCACCATCACACGAGCCAAGTACAGCCTCTTCATCCTGGGACACTTGAGAACCCTAGTGGTAGGTACATTCTAGAGGACCAGGGATCTCAAAAGGGTTGCCCCTTATTACTCATACTGGGTTGAGGTTTTGTTTTTATGTTTCATCAAAATGGAAATGATTTCGAGGTCACAAACAATAGTGTTCCTCTTACTCCTTCACCCCCACCTTGTTAGTTCCCTAGCAGCTTCTTCATGGGAGCTTTTAGACACCCAGACCGTTCTTCTTATCCTAGCCCAGGACCCAGTAGTCACAGTGTGCTTTCAAGATGACCTTTAAGAAATTGTTTCTACATCGTGGGTTTGGTCAGCCCTTAGTAAACTCTGAGTTAATGTGGTCTTGGCTCAGCCTAATGCCAGAGAGAGTGGGAGTTCACAGGTGTGTGTATGGATCTTCATTTCTGTCCTGACACTCGGAGCTGCACCACTTCCTGCTTCCCTTGAGAGATGAGCGTTATCTGGGTCCTTTCAGAGCAGATGCTCCTCCAGAAGGCCAGGTTCCCCTTGTGGTCCACAGAGAGTGTAGCTTAGTTGGGTGAGCTACAGCTGGATAAATGTGAATTTGCTGCTTTGTCTCATTTAGGGGTAATAACTCAGTTTCTCTAATTTTAACAGTCTTTGGTTTATCTTAGGAGAAGTGCTAACTTAGTTCAGTTCAGTCGCTCAGTCGTGTCCAACTTTTTGCCACCCCATGGACTGCATCACGCCTGGCCCCCTGTCCATCACCAGCTCCTGGAGCTTACTCAAACTCATGTCCATTGAGTCGGTGATGCCATCCAACCGTCTCATCCTCTGTCGTCCCCTTCTCCTCCTGCCCTCAATCTTTCCCAGCATCGGGGTCTTTTCAAATAAGTCAGCTCTCTGCATCAGGTAGCCAAAGTATTGGCGGTTCAGCTTCAACATCAGTCCTTCCAATGAACACCCAAGACTCATCTCCTTTAGGATGGACTGTTTGGATCTCCTTACAGTCCAAGGGACTCTCAAGAGTCTTCTCCAACACCACAGTTCAAAAGCATTTCTGTTTCTGAAACAGAGCCTTCCTGCTGTCTTCCCGGAGGCAGTCAGTGTCAGAGGAAACTCAGTGGGATGACGGAGCCCTCCTATGTCTGCGTCATCCAGGACACTAACCCCAGTCACGTGTGGTAGTAGAGAGCTTGAAGTGTGACTGGTGTGACTGAGGAAGTGAACTTCTAATCAACTGAAATTCAAATAGCTGCAGAACGCTACTGACAGCAGGCAGAATTGCATGACGGCTAATTCACCCACATGGCTTGAGTAACAGTGGCAAAATGGTAGAAGTTCTTTCTTAGAGGTGGTGCTGAGTGTTGTTTTGTAGCAGCGTGTTTTATCATTCTGTATTTCATCTTATTTTTTCTTTCTGCTTTGTCTAATAAGTAATGGATTCTTGGGAATCTCTTCACGAGGGTATACTTATTGTTTGTTCCCAGGCACATGAGTGTTTTTTGGGGGGAATGTAATTTTCTTGCTTCTCTTTGAAGGAAAATCGGCATTGGTATCACCTGATTCAAGATGCACAGAAGCGTGGAGCCATTATTAAGACTTGGGACAGGAACTACAGACATGACGCGATGAAGATCCTGAAGCTCAAACCATTGCTTCAAAGGAGCCTTACTCACCCTCCTACTGTTGCTCCAGAGGCATACAGACCCCAGGGTGGCCTACCCAGCAGCAAGCAAGATAGTGAACTCAGCAAGACATCTTTTGCTTCTTCCCTGTACCACTCACCTTCTGATTCCAAAGAAGCCACAGTCACTGATGCTGCAAAGGATCCTGAAAGGCCACCCAATCAGGACCGGCTTCGGGACCCGAGACTGCTGCGGAGGATGGGCTTGGCCTTGGATGCCCAAGGAATGAACCTCAGGGAGCCGCAGCCCTTGAGCCCCCAGCATTCCGGAGCAGCGCCTCCTTTGGGAGCACCAAGCTGCCCTGGGAGTCCCCAGGAGCCGTGCACCATCGGGCAGCAGGGAGTTACCCTGAACAACCACACACCTCACATGCAGTGCGACTCTCCAGCTGCTAGTACTGACACTTCCACAAGCAAAAAAAAGTGTGATGAGGAAGAGGGGGTGCTCGGCCACAGGAGAGAGACCAGGGCCTTGAGTGAAGGGGATCAGGAGTGGTGGGCGAGCTCCGACACAAAGAGGAACTCAGACTGGGACGAGAGGGGCCTGGAGGAGGACAGCATCTCGAAGAAGAGACGGGTTTTATAGTACAGCCGAACAACAGAGGCTGTCAGCCACAACCATTGCTGCAGACCTGTGATGACCAGCTAACAGGCTTGTCCACATAAGACTGTTTTTTCCCTCAAAGGAGTTTGTTGCTGTTGGAAAACAAAATGTATCATAACACGTGGGCCTCTTGGTCCTTTTTGTCAGTTGCAAAAGCTTTCAGAGGACATTTGTGTATCAGTAATTATGTCTTTGAAGTAGGAGGCTTGCAGTGTTGATCTCTTGTTCTTGTAGAAAAGGAGGTCAGCTTGGAGAGGAGGTTGTAGAAGTTGGAATGTATATTTGTATAGCAAATAACAAAATCCTTTTAAAATTTAATCTGGTAGATAGCTTTTCTTTCCCCTGCTTAAAATGTTAATCATTTTCAATAGAACAAACCTTATATTTTAAAAAAAAAGTGTGAGGAGGGCAGGTTCTTTAAACCATTGTTATGGCAAAATAGATGTTTAACAGCCCAGGTAGTCTGGCAAGGAGCTGAGTTTAGTGCTGGTGGGTCAGAGGTCTCTATTTCTGTTTTTTAAAAGCAACTAGAGTCTTTCAGGGGAAACTTGGGAAGCAGAAAGTTATGTTACTTAAGTTTCACTGATGACCTTTGTAGACTAAGCACCCTGACATAGGATAGTGCATTTCTGTGATGACTTCATCTTCTAGTCGTGAGCACATAGTTCTCTAACTAAAATTCTCATTCTTCTTGAATTAGGAGAATATGAAAGTATAGTTCTTGACATGTCATTCAGATGCCCCCAGCATATTACGAGTTTTCTGCAACTCGTGGGTTAGAAATCCAGCAGTTGCCAAGTGCAAGGTCAGTGCTGAGGTGGCTTGTGTGAAAGCATGCATTTCTTGGGTTGAGCCCAGAACACTGGGTGTTCAGCATCTTCCCAAGGGTTTCCTGGGGACTTGAGACAATATTTTAGACAGGAAAGAGACATCCTTTAAAAACAGCAGGCTGGATGAGCAGGGCAGATACTTGGGAGTGCAGAACCAAGGAGGGAGTTGACAGATTTCCTGTCGTCTCTGGAGACCATTGTAACCGATGCAGATGCAGCGCTGTTGTGGAGCATCTGGTTAGAGGGCTTGTGCTTCTGCGAAAGGAAGTGGCTGTGGTGGGTGGAGGTCTGGAGACTTGGACGTGGGCAGGGCTGCCTGATTTCAAAACCTGGCTTTCCCTGCACACACACGGTGGTGCTGAAGTCTCACAGACGCGAGCGTGTGTTAACAGCCAACCAGCATTTGAAGCCCTAGTTGGTCATGTAGCGGGATAGCAACCCCGCTGATCGGGGGTAGAGAGCGCATCCCTGAGTGTGAACACGCACCCTCTGAAGTGTCTTTGCTCTTCTGCTTTTTAAGCAGAAAGGGCTTTGTGTTCGTCAGAAATTGTACTGAAGCGGATTATTAAGAGCTTTAAAAGAGTGTTTGGTTGCCATAGGTTTAAACACTCTACTTCTCTGTTCCCCTTGTCCCTCTCACTGGTGTCTAGACCATGCTGATGGGCGTGGATACTCCCTGACACCTGGGGAGCATGCGCTCTGTCCCCAGAGTTAGCCCCTGCTCCCCCGTCACGGAGGCGAGCCGAGCCCTACTTGGGGCCGGGGCTTTGTAAGCTTCCTGCCTGGCCTTTGGCAAGAAAGCTCATTGTTACTGTGTTTATTTTCCTCCTGTCTTGGTAGAATGCTTGATTTAGCAGACAGTTGTAGTGGTCACGGTTTAGAGAGTCTAGAAGGTGTTGTTAGCTTATAGAAGAGGTGTGACGGACACAGCTGGGCCCGGAGCTTTCCCCACCCTGCTCACACAACATGAATTTAAGGAAGGGTTTGTTGCCTGTTCCTGCACGTCATGTCCACCTTTTGGTTGACCATCCACCTAGTCTGGGAATGCAAGAAGTGGCACATCAGAAAATCTAATGAGCACGTGTGTCCCGACAGCCTCTCCCAGCAGAAATGGTCATACCAGACGTTGCATTGGAAACACAGTATGGTTCCAGTTGGTGTACTTACATATTTGCACGAAGCACTTCGTATGTCCCGTGTGGCCTTTGTTGATGTAGCTGTCACAGCAATGTTGTTGGTGGGCAGTTAATCTGCAGGTGAAAAATAACAGCTGTTAGTTTTGTCCTTGCCATGGCTTTATAAGAAAGTGCCCTGTCTTCTTTCAGTCTTAATTCTTTCAACATGAAAATATTCTACTTAAAATCTTGTTTTGTTTCTTTGTATATGATTTGCCTTCAAATTACTGTGCACGGTTTATTTAGTTCTGTTTTCCATGTATTATCAGGAGCAAATTTGATAAGTACATGTGAATAACCTCCTGTAAATGAGTTTTATAACAAAATTGTACTAAACTGTTTTCTAAAGTCAGTTGTACAGATGTATAGTTTTCTTTGCTGTAGTTTTCTTTCTGTGCTCTGAATTCCTAGCCAGGATTTGGCAAACAATAGCCCTGCTGTCTCTGTTAAGACCTGAGTATTAAGAGAAAATGGCAGAATTAAAAGCAGAAACAAGAAAACTGACGCGGGTTAGGAGTTATTGAATGAGGATTCAAGGAATTTCCCAGATAATCCGTTTAGTCTGCCATTGGATTGATGTTTTCATCTAGTCTGCCCCCACAGTGCTCCTAGCTTCTCATCTCTTCTTGGAATCTTATCCATAAGGTAGTGAGTGAGGTGCGTGTGGCCAACTGTGGTGTCAGTTACATGTTGAGATTTGGTCCAGAAACACACGCTCACCTCCAGGCTGAGCTTGGGAGAGTGGAGCAGATGAGCAGGGACCCACAGAAGGAGCTGCGGGAGCCCCAGTGGCGGGGCTGGAGGCAGATGGCCAGGCCGGGGGTAGGCACTGGTTGTTACAAAGGAGAGCACCTGCTCCAAAAGCGGTGGCTTCAGGGAGCACAGTTGGACGTGCTGAGTTCCACCGGGATGTGGGCCCCGCCAGCCTCGCTGGGCCTCCCACTCATCCGGGATGGAGGCGCCCACCACCCGTGAGGGTGAAGGGATGACCTCGGGGGTAGTCGTGGGGTGAGGTGAACTTGCCAGGAGACCTGATGAGAGGCATATGCTCCGTGATGGCCATTCTATCCATGCGGTTGGTTCCTGCAGCAGCTGCCACAGGGATTTAAAAAAAAATCTCCTAACCAATACACACGCCATCACCACCACCTCCTGGGTTTCACCATTTATTGTTTGAGGAGTAAATAAAAAAGGAAACTAAAATTTAGCTTCAGCTTAAGTAGAATTTACAGTTTTGTGTAGTACCATAAAGGCAGTTTCTGTACACAAAGGATCCCTCGGCAACTCTTAAAGGCCTTGAGTTATTGTCACCCTGTCCACTGGACAGGAGCTGTTTGCTGAGTCAAGCTGCGTAAACAGTGTCCACAGGTGGACGGTGCCCTGACCGATGGGAGCTGTCTCTGTGTTCCCTCCCTCCAGCTGGGGCCAGCTCTGCTTGTGGATGCCCTAGCCTTTGTTCTCAAGCAATGTTGCAAATCGAATTGTTGGTACTTTTCAGCCTGGGAGGTGCACCTGGGAGTCACCCAGAGAACTTCAAAAATTCCCTTTCCTGGGCTGTCCCCTAGAATTGCTAATTTCTTGGGTCTGGGAGAAAGTACTTGCTGCCTTTTTTTTAAAAAAAAAAAACCTTAAAAGTTGAACTCACTCCAAGGTGATTGCAGTGAGCGGCAGGCCTGGAGGCCTGGCTCCTCAGGTCAGGAGGAAAGGGGAACAGCCCTGGGGTCCATCGGGATCCAGTCTGCCTTCAGTACCTCATCCCCTCCAGGGGCTCTGGAGGGGGTGCGGCCCACCCCCAGAAGCCATCTGGGCAGGCATCCTTTTGTTGAGATTCCCAAGGGCACTGCAGTGGGACTGGGGAAGGAGAGCCGGGAACAGCTCAGTCAGGGGTTGGGGGTCCTGATGCCGTAGAGAGGAGGAGTTAGAAGGCTGCCTGTGGAGCCTCGGAAGAGCCGAGCGAGCCTGCGTCAGGTTTGAGCGGAGTGCCCAGCAAGCTGGCCGCGGAGAGGACTGAGCAGGCAGTAGGTGGTCACGGGAAACGAGGCAGGGGTCTGCCTTAGCTCTGCCATTGGCTGTGGGCATCTCCCGAGGACCTGCTGTGGGCTTTAATTTCTCTGCCAAGTCCCAAACCCTGACGTGTCCCGGAGAAGAGGCTAAAGAGCACAAGTGTGGACTTCCCTGGTGGCCCAGCAGCCGAGGGGTCTCCTGATTCTGAGCTCCTGCAGCCCCACTGCCCCCGTTCGGACACTGACCCAGAATCACCCCGACACAGCTGGGCAGGGAGCCCGCCAATGGCACCCGCCTTTGCCCACATCTTGGTGGAGAATGTCCTCAAAGATTCTACTTAGGTTTATAGTTCCTTGGGTTTCATGACAACGTTGTTGTTCAGTCACTCAGTTGTGTCCTACTCTCTGTGACCCCATGGACTGCAGCACGCCAGGCTTCCCTGTCCTGCACCATCTCCCAGAGCTTGCCCAAACTCATGTCAATCATTGAGTCGGTGATGCCGTCAACCATCTCGTCGTCTGTCATCCCCTTCTCAATAGATGATTAAAGCAACAAATGAACCTAAAACTAACTTTCTTAGGTCCCCATACAGATTGCATGGTCACCCCTGCACTGTAAGAGTTCTGCTCTGGGGGAAGCTCACCCTCTAGGGGAAGCAGCAAGAGAAAAGAGATTTCAAAAATAACAGCAGGGGCTCTCCACACACGCCACTCCTCAGGCCCCCAGGACATCTTATCCGGGCTCCTCTGGGGGGAGGGATGGGTTTTCTCTGAGGTTGGGGCCTCTCTCCTGGTCCTCCAGAAGATGACGAAGTATTGCCAGCGCTTGCTTCACCACGTATGCCCCTGGTATCTGAGTAACTGAAAGAGTTGACTCTGATCTTTTTTATAGGCTACTGCCATAAAAAGGCATTTTTATAAGCTGCTCTTACAAATTAAATCTGTTTAGTTTTTTTTAATTAAATTTTTTTAAA